GGGTTCGATCCCAGGCATCCCAAAGGATCCCCCAATCACCGCCCAGAGTCATTCCTGACCACTGCCGGGTGTGGCCCAAAACAAACAAGCAAAACACTCTTTTAGGGACCTCCTAGCCTCTGGAGCCATGAAGGAAGTTGGCAGACGTGAGTTTATGAGTGGGTGTGTGATGCTTCCCGTGGGAGTCGCCGCCACAGGTCCCCCAGCAGAGGAACAGAGGGACGCGGGCCACAGACTGTGGTCAAAATGGCCTTTTCATGCAGAGCTGTTGTCATACTTAGAGAACATCTGAGAAGGTTTGAGGTACAGGATTGCATGTAGGTGTGATTGATCATTTTTTGGGAGGGGGAGGGTCACACCCGGCAATGCACAGGGGTCATTCCTGGCTCTGCACTCAGGAATTACTCCTAGTAGTGCTCATATGGGTGCTGGGAATCGAACCCAGGTCGGCCGCGTGCAAGGTAAATGCCCTACCCACTGTGCTATCCCTCCAGACTCGTGATTGATCATTTACAGAGGTAAAGCATTTCGATGGAGGCAGTTCTCCTGGGGGGATTAACTCAAGGAGACACTCTGTCTCCCAGGGACATCTCTATTGTTTTTCCCTTTCCCTTTAATTGTACATATTAAACAATTAAGCTTACTCCTTATTAATACTTGCGGTTATTTGGAGATATAGAATCCAAAAGTTGATTCTCTGGGCTCAGAGGGCAAGAAAGGCTTTTACCATAAATCCCAGATTAAGTACTCAGGCCAGTTTAGCTCTTCCTTCCTCATGGGGGGGTCCTATCTCTTAAGTCATAGTAGCTTGCATGGAGACCGTGCTTATATTATTTCTAGATTGTCCCGTTTCAATGCTGGGGTAGCTTCACTGCTCGCCCCAAGTCCATCCCAGTCCTGATGTGGGACCTCCCTTTTGGGGTGTTCGGAACTACAGCAAGCAAAGCCTGAATCAAGTAATTATGCTGGATGCCCAGATATATTTCAGAGTCAATCGACTCCCAGATATTAGGAGCACAGCATTAACAGTCTCTCTGTGTTTAAACAAAGAACATCGCTCTACAGTAATACGAAAAGGTTATAGGAAATAAAAAAGGTTATAGGAACTAGAAAAGCAAGTAATTCACTATGAATACGAAGTCCATAGTCACCTAAGTAACCCAGCCTGACTTGGGGAATTGTAAAGCACAGAGGAAGGGATCAAAATAAACTTGGGGGATTGAAAGTGCTGGTAAGAGCACTATAAGCTTCTGGGGGGGGAGGGGCAAGTCACTGATGAAGCCTAAAGCAGTTTGGGTTAATATCCAGCAGTCAGAGTTGACCCCCCCCCCCAAGACAAGGGCACTCTCTCTGTCCCTGAATCAAGGGGGTGAGAATCCCAAATAACAGAAGCAAGCAGGCCCAGAGCCCTGGGAGCCCCTGGGATGGGAGATGAGGAGTGAGGAGGGGCTTCTGGGCACCGGAGTGTTCGTGGGCTCTGAGGAACAAGCTCGACACCCCTTCCCAGGGCCCACCCAGGAGCCCTCAGGAGCCCCATGAGCAGATCTGTGATCTCCACACCCGTCTCCTGCCCCCAGGCTGGTCCACACAGTGGGGCAGTCGAAGAACTGAGTTAAAGTGACTTTTTCCTGCAGAATTGCTACACACACACACACACACACACACACACACACACACACACACACGCGCATATCCATCCCTTCTCCAACATGTCCCCTGTCTCTCTTTTGATGTGGGGGAACAGGTCCTGTGTCCCCCAGTGCCAGGGAGATAAGGGATCTTCCCAGGCTTGTTCTGAGCTCCCCACAAGGCAAGTGGTACAGCCCAGTCTGAAGTGGATTCTGGAACCCATCTGGCTCCCCCTGGCCCAGACGCCAGACCCTGAGGGGACCAGCCTAGCCTCGCCGGTCACTGGGGGTGCGAGAGGGCAAGGCCACTGTGGTGCAGTCTAGACCAGTAGGTCTCCACTGGACGCCTTGAGCTGGGATGTTGCGTGTGCAGCACTTCTGCTAGATGTGGTTTCTGTTACAGAGGAGGAAGCCCAGGTTCAGAGAGCGGGGCCGGCTGGCGGGGCGCCACACAGGCAGGAAGTGGCGATCCACGTGGCCTGATTTCCAAATTCACCGCGATTCCAAGGCCAAGAACCCCCTCACCACGCGTAAGGCTCACGTTCTTTCCTGCCTAAAGCGGAACGAACACTCAGAAGGTCACGTGCAAATATTTGCCAGTGCTCTGTGGCCGGCAGACAGCTGTCCATTTCAGCCGGAGATTTCGAAACCGGTCCTAGGAAGCTCATCTTCTGAAGGCCACAGCCCCGGGACCTGCAGCTCATGCGGGCCACCCCATCCTTCGTCCTGGCTGTTGCTTCTGATACACCAAATATTGCCTGGAGAACGTCTCCAAAGGACAGCGCAGACTTAGCTCCAAAGTGGTGTTAGAGGTGGCCAGAGAGATAGCACAGCGGGCAAGGCGATTGGGAGTTTACCTGGGTTCGATCCCTTGAGCCGGGAGAAATCCCTTGAATGTGCAGAGAGCCAGAAGTAAACCCCCAAACAAAAGCAAACAAAGGTGTGCGAGGAAAAAGAAAGAGAAACAAGCTTTTAAAAAGAAAAGCACATTACAAATCTTTCTGTTTGGGGCCAAACCGGACAGTGCTCAGGACTTACTTCTAGCTCTCCACCCAGGGATCGTCCTGGTGGACCGTACTGGGTGCTAAGATTCGAACTCGAGTCAGCTGTACGCAAGGCAAGAGCCCTCCCTGATGTACTTATTGCTCTGGCCCGTAAATCTTCATTTTTAAAAAAATAAACTTTTTAATTCACACCTGACGATGCTGAGGGGTTACTCCTGGCTCTGAATTCAGGACTTAACTCCTGGTGGTGCTCAGGGGACCATATGGGATGCCAGGGATCGACCCTGGGTGGCTGCTTGCAAGGCAAATGCCCTCCCCGCTGTGCTACTGCTCCGGCCCCACGAGGGACATTCCAGCCTACAGTTTTCCTTCCTGTGGGGTCTCAGTCTCCTTCGGAGTCAGAGTAAGGCTAGCTGCCTCTACTCAGTGCGTTCGCCTCTGCTTCTGTTCTTGGTCAAGAATCACTCCATCTCCTTTCTTAAATGCCTGGTAGAAATTCCCAGTGGCATCAGTGAGAGAGGCCTGATGCTTTCTCCTTTGGTTATTTTATTTATTTTTTTTTTTTTTGCTTTTTGGGTCACACCTGGCGATGCTCAGGGGTTACTCCTGGCTCATGCACTCAGGAATTGCCCCTGGCGGTGCTCAGGGGACCATATGGGGTGCTGGGAATTGAACCTGTGTCGGTCATGTTGGCTGCGTGCAAGGCAAACGCCCTACCCGCTGTGCTATTGCTCCAGCCCCTCTCCTTTGGTTATTAAAAACTGTTTTTGGTTTTGGGGAGTTTGGCCCACACCTAGCAGTGCTCAGGCGTTACTCCTGGCTCTGCACTTAGCAGGAAATGCTCAGGACATTATATGGGATGCCAGGGATCGAACTCAGGTCAAGCCAGGTGCAAGGCAGATGCCCTCCCCGCTGCGCTATCACCCCGGCCAGGTTATTAATTCTTGACTCAGTGCATTTACTGGCTGTCGGCCCGTCCAGGTCATCTGCTCTCCTGGTGCAAGTAGATTCTGTTCCTCAAAGGATTGCTTCTCTCTTCCTTAGGTCATCAGCCTTGTGGTGGCATTTCCTTGATGGCACTTCCTGTGTCCTAGCAGTAGTTGCCGTGGTGTTACTGGCTGTAACGGGCAGGGGACACCCCCCTCCCGGCCCCCCCAGCTGACTCAGCATTTCAGCCCCGAGCAGGGCTGGGTGGTGGTGGCCTTTTTCTGCCCACCTGATGCGGATTCTCTTCTCTCTCCTTCCAGATGCCTTGATCAGCTCTCTGCCATTTCCTGATCTCGCTTTATTCCAATTATTCCTATTTTTCAATTTGGAGGCTGCATCCAGCGGGTACTTTGGAGCTATTCCTGGCTCAGTGGTCAAGGGTCACTCCCGGTGGTGCTCAGGGGACCACGCCATGCCAGGGATCGAACCCCCACCCCCCGCCCCTCTACCAGCATGCAAAGCGTGTGCTCGGCCTGTGGCAAGATCTTGCCAGCCCACCTCGAGGTTTGGAAACCCAGAGCGCTCCGCTGAGACGTACGTTCCCCGGGGACCAGAATCTCTGCAGCATGAAGTCACTTCACAGTGGCTCCCATGTGCTTCCGTGACTCTACTGGCGGGACAGGGGAAGCTTCCTTTGCTTCTCTCCCCTTTGCTGTCATCGAGGCTGCTGCTGTGACAAGGGTCACACACTGCGTACTTCAAGGCTCCCACATGGATCTGGGGGGGGGCAGCTTGCCGGCCAGCCCCGTTATCCCCGCATGCCTGACAGGGATCACTCGTGGCACCGTGGGCCCCCGATGGAGCTGCCAGGCCCACAGTAGAGCCACAAGGCTTGGCGCGACACCAGGGCATGGCCCTTAGCCTGCTCCGCCACAGGGGGGTTCCCAGGCCAGCAGCAAATCCCTGGGGACGTGGCTTCGGCCTAGAGCACTCCACTCGCCTGGCCTGTGTGGGGTCCCGGGGCACTTGCCTAGTACCACACTGCAAGGCATGAAAGAGGACCCCTGGGGGAAAGTGAGTTCCCAGAAGCCCCCTGGTTGAGGGACCCAGCAGGAAGCGCAGGGCCCAGGCAGCGCTGAGGACCCCCAGCTGAAGCCTCCCCAGCCCATCAGGCCGATTCCACACAGCGTGAACCACCCCCTCCCGCCCCCAATCGTGCCTGTGTCGTGACAGTTCCGGAGGTCGATACATTCAAAAGCGTTCCAAAGTGTGTGAATAATTGACCGAAGAGACTAGTAATCAGAGAGAGGTGATTCAAAGCCTCCCCCGAATAACGTGAGCCTCCCCGTTCGCTTTCTGACTCATGACGAGAAAGGGGAGGGGTGGCAGTTGTGCTGCAAACCGATTTAATCCTGGGGTACCCCTGGGAACCAGGAAGAGCATGGTGAGGCAGCAGAAAGCCGGGCGCATCTATCCACAAGACTCGCAGACACCTAGATGGGAAGGTGGGTGGGAGGGTGGGTGGGTGACAGGCAGATGGACAAATGCACAGATGAGCATTCGAGAACGACAAGTGCAAATATTTGTATCTGGAGTTACAGAAGGCAAACGCTGTAGGAACTGAACCTTGGTATCTGTTTTCTGGGTCTTGACAGGATTCAGAAATGGGATCAGGAGCCACAGAGAGAGTGCAGTGGGTAGGGAACTTGCCTTGCATGCAGATGGCCCAAGTTCAACCCCCAGTACCCCATCTGGTCCCCGAGCCCCACCACCAGGAGTGACTCCTGAGCGCAGAGCCAGGAGTAAACCCTGAGCATCACCAACTGTGGCCCAAAAACTAAAAAAAAAAAAGAGAAAGAAAGAAAAATAAAGAAAAGAAAAGAAAGGGAAAGAGAAGGAAGGAAGGAAGGAAGGAAGGAAGGAAGGAAGGAAGGAAGGAAGGAAATGGGCCCGGCAGAGGGTGATTTTCCAGTGCCCACCATAGTCAGTGCCCAAATCCTGAGGCTGGGCAGAGTAGTGGTCGGGGTGCGGGCTCCTGGGACTGGCTGCCTGGACCGCAGTGCCAGTTCTCATACTCCCTGGCTGTAAGGGAACAAAGACGGGCCCCTCTCTGCCCTCCCTTCCCTTCCAAGCCACCTGCCACTGGGGGTAACGAAAGCTCCTGCTACATCCTTGGCCCAGGGGAGGAAGGAACAAGGCGTCCGTCCAGGCCCATCCTCGGAACAGTGTAGGCCACACAGGAAGTTCTCGAGGCAGCTGTTACAGTGGCTTCCCTGGGCTGGAGTGAGGGGTTCTGCATGCTGGGACCCCTAGTTCCATCCCCGGCAACCCATGGTCCCCCCAAACACACACACACACACACACACACACACACACACACACACACACATGAACACCACCAGGAGCGACCTTGAGTAGCCCCTGAACACCGGTGTGACACCCTAAATAAATAAATTCGGTGGCATTCCTGGGGGCTAGAGATAGGGCTCAAAGGGCCGAGTGCAGGCCCCTAGCACCTCGCCAGACCCCACTGGGTACTGCCCCCAAACAAAACAAAGAGGCATTCCTGGGGCTATGTGAAAGGTTCAGCAGAAGAGAGCTGGCTTTGCCTGGGTGATGTTCGGCACCCCAGGTGGTCCCCCCAATCCCTCCAGGGGTGATACCTGAATGCAGAGCCAGGGGTAAGCCCTGAGCACTGCCAAATGTGACCCCCTCAAAAAAGCAAAGAAAACCCTTGAAACCTGCTTCCCACCAACGCAGCAGTTTCTTTACACGCCACGACCCCCCACATTCCAGTGTTATAGGTGTTCATTTTCTCCCTTTCCTTCCTCCCACCCCCGAGGGAAAATATAATTTAGCTCAAACTTTTTTTTTTACCAAAATGTTCTGAGAGTGAAAGTAATAAAATATCCAACCAGCCCATTTGAATGAAGACGGAGGTATAATTTGCATGATAAAGATATATTTCCATTTATAAAGTTCATCAGCAGAATTAATGACAAATAAAGGGACGATCCAATTAAAGTTCCCCATCCATTAACAATCTTGCTTCACTCTTAGGGCAGGAATTTTCACAGGATTGGAAATGATTTAAATATTAAGGCTGGTGGCATTAAAAAGGACATGAAACCATCACATTAGAATTCAAGGGAAAGAGACTCGCCCGTGGTTTTTGTCATGGGCGTCAGATGCATTACCGGGATCCGGGTTCCACCGGCTTTTTCCGTGTTCACCCAAATGAGCTGCCAAGAGCTGATGGGCGTCGTCATAATCAAAGAAAACAAGTTTGCCCTTTAAAGCAAGGGAGGTAATTTGGCTGAAAGCAAATTGGAAGCATTTCCTATAATGTTGCATTTCCATCCACCCTCTCGGAAGGATTCGGGCATTTTGATTTATGCCTGAGAGCTTTGGGGGACAGTGGGGAGAAGGCGTTCATTAAACAGGTGCCCCATTCACCCTGTGGCCAGCGGGCAGCGATCCTTAATCCTCCAAGAGACCGAGGAAGCCCCACAGCCAGCCCTGCCACACTGTGTGTGAAGGAACCACCTTCAGGAACTCGGGAGATTGAGTCGAGGGGATCATTGCCGGGGACCAACCCTGTCTCCACTTGGCCCAGTCCGCTGCCAGCAGCTTCAGTTTTGGATGGGTGCTGCCTGGCCTCAGACCCTCGCTCAGCCACTGTCTTCCTCAGCGCCAGAGGGTCCTTCATCCCTCCCTCACTCTCTGTCCGCTCTGGTGGGCTAAGCATCTCTCACTAGCTCCCGAGAGGAGCAGGCACGGGCTGTAGATCAGCTTTTTTAAAGTTTTTTTTGGGGGGGGTCACACCCGGCGATGCTCAGAGGTTACTCCTGGCTCTGCACTCAGGAATTACCCCTGGCAGTGCTGGGATGCTGGGAATCGAATCCGGGTTGGCCTCGTGCAAGGCAAACGCCCTACCCGCTGTGCTATCACTCCAGCCCCCCAGTCAGCTTTTTCTGCTTGTTTTGTTTATATTTTGTGTTTTGGGGGTCCACATCTGGCAGTGTATGACTCCGGGCTCTGCACCCAGGAATCATTCCTGGCGGTGCTAAGGGCATCATATGGGATGCGGGGGATGGAACCCGGGTGGGCCACGCGCAAGGCAAACGTTCTGCCCATTAGACAATCGCTCCGGGCCCCAATCCAGTCAGGTTTTACTTGTGGGATCATTGTACAGAACCTTGGCAGAGCCGGTCCAGAATCCTGGTACCCCTTCCCTCAGCACCCCCATGAACGTTGACGCCTTCCAGACTTGTGTCTGCCAAAGCTCACACGTGAACACTGGCCATGCACTGAGCCACTGACTCCATTAAAGCTCTCAGCGTTTTCCTCCAAAACCCCTTTTCCTGTTGCCGGGATCCAGGCCAGAGGCAACACACTGCATTCATCTGATTTTACACCGTATTTCTAAGCCGTTGTCCCCCCCCACCCCCCAACGTGGAAAATCCACACTTGAAAACCAGTGCCAGAGGCCAGAGCGATAGCACAGCGGGTAGGGCTTTTGCCTTGCACGCGGCTGACCAGGGTTCGATTTCCAGCATCCCATATGGTCCCCTGAGCACCACCAGGAGGAACCTCTGTGCATTGCCGGGTGTGACCCAAAAAGAAAAAAAAATAGTGCTGGAGACCCGACCAGTGCTGGCCCTAAAGCCCCCAGGGCCCCTGCTTGCTGCGCTCTGGTGGCCTCTGCCACCCTCTCCCAGTTCTGGACCCCAGACAGCACACCTGGGATCCCTGGCTATAGCCCTAGGGAGACGAGACACTGGGGTGAGCCGGAAGAAGCGGGCAGGGCCGAGCTTCCGTCCAGCTGTACTTCGGCCGGGTCACAGCTTCTGGGTGGTACAGGAAGTGGCCACCTTCCCGCTTGCCCCGGATGACCCAAGCTTGCCACCTCCTCCATCACCCGCTGGCAGAGCCGGGCGGCTGCAAGTTCCCCGGCGGGGCCTCACACCCTTCCCATCCCCGAGTGCTGGCTTATCTGTGCCCAGGCACCCTTGTGTGGGTGCTGTGAGGGTCCTCACCTCACGCCTGAGCCCACACTCACCGCCACCTCCAGACCTCCCACCCTGGAGGCCCCACAGCTAAAAAGTGCTTCTGGGTGGCCAGAGCCGCAGGACAGCCAGGAAGGCGCTTGCCTTGGGGACAGCTGAGCTCAATTTGGTCCCCGGGTGTCACAGGGGGTCCGAAAGCCCCACCAGGAGTGAGTCCTGAGCACTAACAGGTGTGGCTCAATAAACACCACCCCCCCCCCCAACGCACACACGTTCCCTTAATAAAAAAAAAAAGCAATTTGTGAGAGGTTCTGGGTGCCAGCTCCCAAGGCCGCTGGTCCTGGTGCTGTGTGTGTGTGTGTGTGTGTGTGTGTGTGTGTGTGTGTGTTTGGGGGCAGCCGGCCTCTGCCCATGCCTCCTCCTCTCTTTTCAGGGCCCCCGAGCCCCCGAGGGCAGATGGCCTCCCACCACCTCCCCGTGCGTGCAGAGCCCCAGGGGTCAGCTCAGGAAAATGCGCTGGAGGGCCTCTCGGTGTCGCCCCTCTACCAGAGCCCCGACCTCAACAAAATGAGACTGATGGCCGAGCCCACCAAGAAGCCGGCCGCCTTCCTCAAGTACATGACGCCCTCCAAGACCAAACTCACCACCATCGAGGCCAAGAGGATCATGTCGGTCCTGGACGAGACCATCCAGAAGGTGGAGTGGGTGACGCTGCTGCCGGACACAGTGTCCGGCCTGGATGCGCTCGAGGGGCTGCTGGAGGACCACATCCTGCAGGCGCTGCGGCAGCACGGGGGGCTCTGCCAGGACCTACTGGCCAGCACCCGCTCCCCTGAGAGCCGAGACGGGCTGGGAGAGCCGGGCCAGGCCGAGGACGGGCTGTTCTATGAGCACTTCCTCTCGGAGGAGCTGCGGTGGGCCCAGCTGCCCTCGCCATGGGACCGGGTCAAGGACTCCACCAGGAACGTCGTGCGGCTCCTGCTCACCAACCCCCGGGCCGCTGGCCTGCTGATGACGCAGGAGCAGCGGCGGAGCCCAGCTGCCCAGCGCTTCGTGGATGCCCTGAAGGAGCTACGCGGGTTCCTCTTCGAGAAGCTCCTCACCAGCCCCATGGAGATGCGGGACAAGACCCAGTTCATCCAGAACATCAACAAGCAGAACCGGAGGAACGAGGAAGTCATCAACGGGCTGGAGAAGGAGCTGGCCGGCAGCATGAAGACCAGGGATGCCGAAGTAGGTACCCCGCGGCCGGAGGCAGGAGGATGCTGGCGGGCAGGGCGAGCCCAGGGATGCAGGAGGTGGTACCCTGCAGCCAGTTGGCCGGGGCTGAGGAAGCTCACAGGCAGGGGGAACCCAGAGACTGGGGCTGCCGGCACCCTCTGCCGTGCTTTCAAGGGCTCTGGCCTTCGGTCATCTATTCCACAAACTCTGACGGGGAACCAGGTCTCGGAGTTAAGCCCACCGGGTCCCTGTCTCAGAGTTTGTGGTGGGGAATTTTTGAGGTCCTGAGCTGAGCTGATTACAGTTTTGAAAAGCATAACAAAGGGTAAGTACAGAATGCTTGAAGGGAGTCTTGCAAGAGAATCGAACTTCAGAGACGCCAGGCCACTGAAGGCGAGAGGGAAGGAGGAGGGAATGACTTTGATGGGGAGGCAGGGAACCTTCCGGGCCAGGCTCCGGGGGAGATGCCATGGGATTCTTCCCTCCAAAGGCTTGGCAGGCCAGTTCTGTGACCTGTGCCCACCGGGGGCTAGTGCTGGACTCAGTCCTGCCTGCATGACGGAGAAGCCACCATCCCCAAACGCACCGCCCAGCACCCGTCAGACCTGTGGGTCGGCCCTGCTCCAGGGAGGAAGCTGGGCCTGTGTGTGCACCTACCTGGCTGGTTCCAAAGCCCAGGGAGGGCCTGTGAGCCCGGGGTGGGGGGTGGGGGGCATAGAGTGGCCTGGAGGGGGCGGGAATCAGTCCACACAGAGCCTTTGAGGCCCAGTGGGAAGGATCGTGGGGACTTTTTTGGTCTGGGTGATGCTGAGGGCTTCCTCCTGGCTCTGCACTGAGGAATCACTCCTGGTGGTGCTCAGGGGCCCATGTGGGATACCGGAGATTGAACCCCGTGGGCTGCGTGCAAGGCAAACGCCCTCCTCATCTTTGTCTTGAGGGCAAAGGGGCAGAGGGCGGGAGGGTCTCTAAGAAGGGCAGTGACCTTGACCAACGATTGACCCTCCTGGGGCACACGCTGTCCCTTTACCTACTTTTCTGTGTGGCCTGACAGCGTCCCAGTGTGGTGGTGTCTGAGTACAGGTTTGGCGGATGAAAAGCAAGAGAGGGGGCTGGAGCCATAGCACAGCGGGTGGGGCTTTTGCCTTGCATGCAGCCAACCCGGGTTCAATTCCCGGCATCCCATAGGGTCCCCTGAGCACCACCAGGAGTAATTCCTGAGTGCAGAGCCAGGAGGAACCCCTGTGCATCGCTGGGTGTCACCAAAAAAGGAAAAAAAAAAAAAGCAAGAGTGTCTTACACTGGGGGAAACGCACTTCTCCCGTGGGAAGCTGGGCTTGGGGATGCTCTGCTTTGTAAGTGCAGGGGGTGACTCCAGCCCGCCCCTCGCCTCGGCATGTCATGGGGTGGGCCCGACTCTCCAGGAGCTGCAGATGCAGGAAGGGGGGTGGGGGCTGTGGCCACGTTCCAAGAACGATTCTGTCCACGGCCTCTCTGGGGAGAACAGACATGGGGATCCCTGGAAGACTTCCAGGCCCACCTCCAGCTTGGGAGCCTGGTGGCCTACAGCGGCCCAGCCCTGTCCCCGCCTGGCTAGCTCCTGTGTCTGCTCTCCGCACCTTTAACGCGTTTGCCAGATCTGTTGGCCAACACTCGCAGGGCTCTGATTGGGGGGCACAAAACCTACTGCTGAGTGCCAGGGACAGGGCGCGGGACTCGGCCAGGGGGTGTCTCCTGGGGACCAGAGAGGGTCCCTGCGGGTGGCAGAGCCTGTGATGGCTTCCAAGTCGGACAGCTCCGGGGCCGACCACCACCAGGTCAGGGGGTGCCCCCCAGGATGTGCCTAGCCTCAGTGTTAAATTAGGGGGTGACACCGTCAGGCAGGCAGGAGGTGGGGGGGCTTCTAGCTCCAGAACTGCAGTACCCCGAGCGCACCGCCTGGCCCCAGGACCCTCCCCGCTGCCCGTCACAGCTCTGCCCGCCACCGCTGACCCTCCCCCCTTCCCCCCGGTGCAGCTGGAGAAGGAGAACTTCGTGATCCAGGAGCTGAAGAACCACCTGCACCAGGTGCTGCGGCTGTCGGAGAACAGCCTCCTGCGCACGCGGCAGGAGGCGGAGAAGCAGCAGAAGCTGGACTACCGCTCCTCGCAGGCGCGGCTGGCCAAGACCCAGCAGGAGCTGCTGGTGCTGCGCGCGCAGCTCAACAACCTGGTGGCGGAGAACCAGGAGGTGGAGCAGGCGCTGCGGAAGGTGCCGGGGCGGGCCGGGAGGGGCGCGGCAGGGGAGCCTGGCGGGGACACAGGGGCCAGCTCTGCGACTGGGGGGTCACCGAGGAGGACAGGAAGGAGCTTTGGGTTGGTTTGGGGGGAGTCAGGGCCGACTCCTGGCTCTGTGCTCAGGGATCGCTCCTGGGGGCTCCAGGAACCAGATGGGGCGCCGGGGACGGACCCGGGTTGGCTGCGTGCGAGGGCAACGCCTGCCCAACTGTGCGAGTGCTCTGGCCCCTTTCATCTTTTCCTTGAAAAGTGGAAGTGTGAACCCAAACTGTAGCACAGTGGGCCGACCTGGTTTTGATTCCCAGCATCCCGTAGGGTCCCCAGAGCGCAGGAGTAATTCCTGAGCGCAGAGCCGGGAGTAACTCCTGGGCATCGCCAGGTGAGACCCAGAAAGAAAAAAAAAAGTGGAAGTGTCCCGATGTGTCTTCGTGGATCAGGATGAATCCCTGTTCATTCTAACCCTCTCGCCAGCACTCAGCGGGTGCTGATACTTCTTTGCTTGACGACTTGGCTCCCTGCACTCCTATGCAGATGAGCCCGGCCTGCACCCAGCTCCAGCCTTTCTAATGCCCGGTTCCAGGCCAGCCTCCCCACCTGCACGTCCCCATCAGAGACACAGTCCGGGGAGCTGCCTAGTCCCCTAGCAGCCGAGGGTGGGGCGCCCCTCACTATAAGGGGACAGATGCAGATTCACAGGGAGGGGGGCAGTGCTTGGGGTCTCAGCCCCCCAAAGCAGCGCACCCAGGCTGCCCACATTAAGAATCTTTCCTCTGAAGGATGAAGGAGCTGATTGTATCTATTTATTTTGGTTTTGGGGCCAACCCTGGCTGCTGCTCAGGGCTTGTTACTCCTGGCTCTGCGCACAGCCTCACTCCTGGCAGAGCTCAGGGGAACCCCTGGGGTGTCGGGAATGAAACCCAGGAGCCGATTTATTATTAGAAAGTTTTAATTGAGGGCCTGGAGTGATAGTCCAGCGGGGCGGGTGTTTGCCTTGCACATGATCAACCTGGGTTCGATTCCCAGCATCCCATGGGCCCCCAGAGCACCGCCAGGAGTGATTCCTGAGTGGAGAGCCAGGAGTAACCCCTGTGCATCACCGGGTGTGACCCAAAAAGGAAAAAAAAGGAGTTTTAATTGAGGTAAAATTTATAAAACATACAAGGATCCATTTTAAGGTCATTTAAGCAGCTTCTGGCACATCCTCCTCATCAATCTTCCCATTTCATCACCTCCAAAGAAAACCCATCCCCTCCCCCTCCCCCAAACCAAAGGGCACAGTGGGGGCTGGGTCACACCCAGAGACGCTCAGGGGCTACTCCTGGCTCTGGGATCAGGGATCGCTCCCAGCAGTGCTCAGGGCACCAGAGTGGCGTGAACCTCACCACCTCCGGGTGCTGATCTTTTAGATGCAAGTACGGGCCAGGGCCCTCTGCTGCCCCTAAACCCACCTGCTGACCTCCCCAACCTGGGCCCTTTCCCCCCAGCAGCCCCTACTGCAGGGTTCAAATCCAGGCTCCGCCCCGTGAGCCCCGTGAACCCGGGTGAGTGCGAGTGAGCTGGTGTGGCCAGAGCAAGCCGGGGTGGGGGTGGAGGGCCAGCAGGTGAAGCGATCCCGGCCCCTACTGCGGTGCCTCGCCTCGGTGCTGGACGTCCACACTGGCCTCTGAACAACGACCCGCTGATGCTCTTTTAGAAAAAATACAAAGTGGAGACGGAAATCGAGAACTGGATTCAGAAGTACGACATGGAAATGGAGGAGAAGCAGGTGTGTGTCGCCACCCGGGCCCTGTGCTGTGTCAGTGCAGGTGCCCCCAGCCCTCAGCATGCTCTTCCCGGACCCCTGGCCACATCCCCAGCCTGCCCAGCGAGGCCCCAGGGTGTGGCCGCAGCTGACCTGCCCTGCGCAGGGGAGGCAGGAGGCAGCAGCGTCCAGCCACCAGCAGGTGCCCGCCGGTGGCCTCCGCCGCCCCTGGCTCCACCTAGTGCCCGCGCGCTGCACTGCCTGTCCTCCCGGTCACTCCCGGCACGCCCCAGCCCAGGGTTGCAGACTCTCCTCTGGGGCCACAGCGGGTGTCAGGGAGGCAGCTGGGTCCCTGCTCTTGTGGCCCACACAGGGTCTGCCTGGAGGACGGGCAGAGTGGGGGGCCCAGGCATCGACCCCTCTCGGAGAGATGCGGAGGTCACAGAGGCGCCAAAGGCCTGCATGGCTGAAAGTCGGGGGTGCTCTGTGCTTGGGAAGGGCCAGTCGGGGCCTCTCTGTGCTCACTGAGCTCCAGAAAGGGGCTTTGCATGTCCAAATGCCCCGAGGCGGTGAGCTGCAGTGGGCATGGCCTGGGGGTTTTCTTTGCTGCTGGAGATAGCAGACGACAGCACTCCTGGCCCTCACCCTCGGGTTTGACACTTTCCATATATATATATATATATTTTTTTTTTTTTATTTGCTTTTTGGGTCACACCCAGCGATGCCCAGGGGTTACTCCTGGCTCATGCACTCAGGAATTACTCCTGGCAGTGCTCAGGGGACCATATGGGATGCTGGGAATCAAACCCGGGTCGACCACGTGCAAGGCAAATGCCCTACCCGCTGTGCTGTCGCCCCAGCCACTTTCCCCAAATTTTTAAAATTTTTGGGCCACTCCCAGCAGTGCTCAGAGAACCAAATGGGGTGTCAAGGCGGAAACTTGGGTCAGCCGTGTGCAAGGTAAGTGTCCAACCACTGGACTCTAGCGCCGGGCCCGTCCCCACATTCCAGACGAGGATGTCTAAGGTGGAGCCCCGCGGGGCACAGCCGCTCCAGGATGGGAAACTGTCATAAGCCCCACTGGACCCGGTAGCGAAGGGCTGGGGGGATTCGCGGGCGGGGCTCGCTCGGCCCTGGCCCACGCCGCCCCTCGCCCTAGGAAGAGTTCGAGGAACTGGACAGCATCCACCAGGAGGAGAAGATCCAGCTGCAGGAGCTGAAGGAGCGGCACGAGGTGCTGGCCGAGGAGTTCCTGCAGATCCAGCAGGAGCGGGACATCAGCTCCAAGAAGAAGCTGGAGGCCGAGCAGGAGATGCTGCGCATGGTGCGGGCGGCCACGCTCATCCAGGCCGTGTGGAAGGGCTACCTGGTCCGCTCCCTGCTCAAGTCCCGGAGGAAGAAGCGGGCCAAGTCCAAGATCAAGGAGGACATCAAGGGCAGAGGCAAGAGGGCCAAGAAGGCCGTGAGCCTCAAGGAGCTGGCGCCCGAGGGCATGGGCCCTGAGGACGTGGGTCTGGAGGAGCGGGAGGAGGAGCGGGAGGAGGAGCCGGGCAAAGGCTCCAAGAGGAACAGCGGGGGCAAGAAGTGAGTCCCAGAGCCCACGCCCCGCACCCGCCCGGCCTCACGCTCACTTCCCCTCCCAGCCCCGCATTCCCGAGGACCCAGGAACAGGGGCCTGGGGACACAGTGCTTTAGCCATCTTTCAGAATTATCAAGCACGTGCGGGGGGTGGGAGGCGGCTGGGAACGTAGGACTGCGGGGAGGGCACTTGCCTTGTACGTGGTTTACCGGCATTAGCTCCCTGGCACCCCATAGAGCCGCCCTGAGCCCCACCAGGAGTGATTCCCACGGGGCCAGGAGTAACCCCTGACACTACCAGGTGTGACACAAAATACACCCGCCCCAAAAGAAATACAACAATTAAAAGCCAGTTCAACTACGCTCAACCCAGAAAGCTCCTTTCTTTCTTTCTTTTTTTTCTTTTTGGGTCACACCCAGCGATGCACAGGGGTTACTCCTGGTTCTGCACTCAGGAGTTACTCCTGGCAGTGCTCAGGGAACCGTATGGGATGCTGGGAATCGAACCCGGGTTGGCCACGTGCAAGGCAAACGCCCTACATGCTGTGCCATCTCTCCAGTCCCCAGAAAGCTTTTTTTTTTTTACCCTGGGGTGCTGGCTTCGGGTGGGGGGCCACGCTGATGAGCCTCTGTCCTGGAGACAGGTGACCCCGCAGACCCCCACTGTGCGTGGATGCCTCCAGCTATGGCTTGTGCCCCACCTGGCAAAGGGCTGGTCTCTTTTGTTTAGAAGCTGGGAAACTGATCCGCTTTCCAACCTGCAACCGGGGGTCAGGCCCACAGGCCAGGGGTCCCCACTAGACACAGCAGGTGCAGGAGGCTGTGTCCCTGAACAGCACAGAGGGCACGTGGATGTGTGGGTCAAGGCCCCTGCCCCTACCTGTCACAGCAGGGGCCTCAGTAGCTACACAACCACCACAATCGGTAGAACCTGGGGTGCTACAGTGCTTGGATATATTTATTTTTATTTGTCTTTTGGGTCACACCTGGCGACACTCAGGGGTATTCCTGGCTCTGCATTGAGGAATTACTCTCCCTGGTGCTCGGAGGACCATCTGGGATGCCGGGGATCGAAACCAGGTGGGCTGCCTGAAAGGCAAACGCTCTACACGCTGTGCTATGGCTCCGGCCCCAGTGGATCTATTTAATACCTGAAGAGAAATACACATGGATCAGCGGGAAATGCCTCAGGGCCGGAAGTGGGGTCCACAGGGGGGAGCCTGGGGCTTCCTGGGCCATCAGCTCCTGGCCACTCGTCCACCCTTGGCCACAGCCGCAGAATGGAGTGGGTTGTGCCCCTGAGGCGTGCCCCTTGGCTGACTCTGATACAACTTGTGCCTGAGACAAGTCTGGGTACCCCCAAATCCATGAGGGGGGGAAGCAGCTGCATAGAGAGATTGTCAGCAGAAGGGGCACAGCCCCCCTGATGTCTGGCCCCCACCAGAGCCCACGGGAGCAGGACTCAGACCTCATTTCCAAGGAGGTTTCTGGTTCTGGGTGGTCCCACCTCGACGGGGGGCGGTGGGCACTGAGACGCTGGCTGAGCGAGCCCGGGGAGTCACCAGGGCACTCTGGATGGTCACCCCCCGCGGAAAAGGCCGGGGACCCGCAGGCCCATTTTGGGGGGATGCCCAGGGTGTCTGCCCGGAGCTGGGGACATTCAGGTGGGTGAGAGAGTGGGAACGGCCCCTCCGCGGGGGCTGGGGAGAGCCCAGCCTGGGCGCTGGCACCCCCGGAGAGTCCGTCGACGCCCTCGGCTCTGTCTTGGTCGTCGTGGGTGGGTGAACGGCGCGCAGTGGGGTCCCCCTGGGGCGGGGCGGGTGGCCGCCCCGGGGCGGCGTGGCTGGGGGAGTCCAGCAGAGGGCGTGGAGCTTCGCGGTGTCCCCCTTGGCCAGCCACGGGGTGTTGCAGCGAGTGTCCCCAGGGCGGGAGCCAAACAGAGACTCGTCGCAGTAAGACGGGGTGTGGCCGATGAGCCTGACAGAGGAGGAGAAAGGCAGTGAGCCCTAGAACCTCGGACCCTGCACCCCGCCGCTCGCCAGACACCCGCGGGACGAAGGCAGCCACACCCTTCCACGCGCCACCGCCCCATTTCCATCCTGTCCCCCACCGCCAGCACCCAGACGCCAGGCCGCCAAGCAGCCAATTTGCATTCCAGGCCAGGTCAATTTGCATATCCCACCCTGCTGGCCGACGTGATTGGCTCTGGGGGAGCCGCGTGACCCGTTCTGTCCAATGAGAGGCCGCCTGGGCCGGAAGGGGCTGCGTGCGGAGGCAACTTCACTTTTGATACATTGTGTCCTGCAGTTAAATAAACTTAATTCAAATAAACCTCAGTCTAGTCTGCACCAACCAGCGACCCTTTCCCTAGGACCTGACCCTTCCCGTTTGGAGGAAACGCTGTCGCTGCTCTGTGACCTTGGCTAAACCACGAGTTTGCTCTGGCCTCTGGGCCGGGTGCCTGGCTAGGGCCCGGGGACGGGCTGCCACCACCACCTGCAGGTCAGCCAGGCCGTCTGCTGTGCTGTGGCTCTTCCCGCGGGCCCTTGTCGCGTCGCCCTCCACCGCGGGGTGATTTAACAGAGCTCATTTAACAGGCTCTGTTCCCAGGGCAGAATGGATCCTAGGTCCAGCCAGCCCGGGGTTCGGAAGGGAACTGTTTCCCAGTGCTCCAAGTGCGGAATTGTAAGGAAGAGATTTGGGTTAAACGAGGTCATGAGGGTGGGGCCCAGGTCCAGGCGAACTGGTGCCCATACAGGAGGGAGACTGGCGGGGCCGGCCCCATCTGGACACGCTCAGGGCGAGGTCTCGCCAGGCCAGCGAGGTGCCACTTCAAGCTTGGAGAAAAGGACCCTGCTAGCAACGTGGCCTTGGACTTCAGAGCCCTGAGCAAACAGTCTGCTCTGGACTTCTCCCAGGCTGGGGTATTTTGTTTCTTCGCCCTTAAGAGACCAATCTGTGTTAGCAAACCACCACCGACTTTTCTAGCTGGTTTGTGGAAAGGCAGCAAGTCTCTTTACAAGGGGCGGGAGTCTATTGGGGAGGGGGTTTGCCTTGCATGTGGCCGACTGGGGTTCGATCCCCAGCATTCCCTATGGTCCCCAGAGCACTGCCAGGAGTAATTCCTGAGTGCAGAGCCAGGAGTCACCCCTGAGCATTGTGGGTGTGACCCAAAAAGTAAAAAAAGGGGGGTATGCAGTGATAGAATAGCTGGCTGGGCACTTGCCTTGTATGTAATCGACCCGGGTTCGATCCCTGGCATCTCACATGGTCCCCTGAGCACCACCAGGAGTAACTCTGAGCCTAAGCATCACCAAAAATCCATTAGAAAAAAAAAATCATCTCACTGCATCCTCTTCACAATCCCACAGGTAAGGAACATTGGTCCTGCTTTATTTTCACACTAGGATACCGAGACTCAGATAGGTCAAGGCACTTGCCCAAGGGCACACAGCAGCTGCACAGCACCACCCCATCCACTTACCTGTACTTGTTCTTCTTCCTAGGGGTGAGGGTGGGTGTGCTGCCCCTGGAGGAGGGGGGTGCGCAGCTCCCATTGGCGCCACCTGCTGCCTCCAGGCTCCCTTTTGTACTTCGAGGGGCTTTTTGTACCCAGGGTGGGTCAAAGTCTGGTGGGGTGGGCCGGGACCCGCCTGGGCTTCCAAACAGCGTCTCGTCCACATAGGATGCTCTGGCCTTTGACCGGGCCCGCGGTAGCGGGTGCAGAGCCTTCATCCCACTGGAGTCTTCATGCTGACCGAGGTCTCCATCAACAGTAGGGGGGCTGTGCCCACCAGGCCCTGCCTCCGGGGCTCGCTGTGAAAATGGGTCAGGGGCACAGGACAGGGTCAGTTACACGTTAGAAGTGCTCAAGGCTGGCACGGGCTCAAGGTCCCACCAAGGGCAAAAGTATCATGGTCCTCACTCACAGCTGTGCTCCCCCAGAGGGGACTCGCCGCCCACCGTGGCCCTTTAGAAACTTTTGTTTTGGGGGCACACAGGGCTTACTCCTGGCTCTGCACTCAGGGATCACTCCTGGTGGGCTCGGGAGACCCCAGGGAGTGCTGGGGATGGAATCCAGGCCAGCAAACGACAGCCACCCCCTCCACCTGCTGTACCACGGCTCCAGCCAGGCCCTCTAGAAACTTGGATGAGTGTTTCTTAGCTGCCCTCCCTCCACTGGGGAGAGAGAGTGGGGCGCCACCGGCAAATATTTAATGAATCCATTTGCATTCCCAGCATACCCTGAGTGCACAATAAATATTTACAGACTGTTCCCCGGGTGAAGGAGAGATGAGAGCTGGGTCCATCTGGAAACCAACCAGAAAACAGAGATGGGAGGCGGGGAAGTGGGTCGCCGAGTCCTGTGGGGGGAGGTGGGGGGGGTGGAGAGGGGCGGGGGAAGGGCGCAGACCAGACAGCCAGGGGCGAGCCCCGCCTACCTCGTGCCGAGGGCCGCAGGGGCATCGTCGCGTTCACGCGACAGTCCCGCCACCGAGCGTCCATCCTGCATTAGGTGGCCTGGGCCTGCAGGCCACACCTCCTCCAGCGGCTCTGGAACGGGGCGGGGGACACAGACTCAGAAGCGCCGCCGCCCCCGTGCCCGCACCCAGCCTGGCAGGCCCAGCGGCCCCGTCCCCGAGCCCACCGCAGCGAGGCCCACCTGGGCCGCCGGCCCCGGGAGCGCCAGCGCCCTGCGCCCGTGGGTGCCCGAGCCGCCGCCTGGCCCCGGCCCCGCTCACCGCCGCCGGTCCCGCCCACCGCCGCCGGCCCCGCCCACCGCCGCCGCCGCCGCCCGGCCCCGCCTACCGCCGCCGCGGCCCCGCCCACCGCCGCCGCCTGGCCCCGGCCCCGCCCACCGCCGCCGCGGCCCGAACCATTCGCGCCCGCGGGGGTCGCGCCGCGCCCGGGCCTCGCCCGCCGCGCCCAGACCCCACACTCGGGGCGGCCCCCGGGGTGGGCGCGGCGCGAGCGTGCGGGCCGGCTAGGGTGCGCGCGCCGGCCGGGCTTCCGCGGCGCGCGCGGCCCCGGGGCGCCCCCCGATCGCCGCCGGCGCCCCCCGCGCGGATGGACCCCGCGGGCGCCGCCCCGGCCCTGCCCCGGCCCGGCCCGCATGGCGGCCGGCACGCGCGCGGCGGCCGCTCCTCGCCGGCCAGCGCCCATGGCCCAGTGGCGGAAGAAGAAGGGGCAGCGGCGGCGCCGGGGCGCGGCCCCCCCGGCCCAGGGCAGCGACTCGGAGGACGGCGAGTTCGAGGTCCAGGCGGGAGATGACGCCCGGGCCCAGAAGGTGGGGGCGCGGCGCCGCGGGGGTCCGCGTGGCCGCCGCGGGCCGGGCCGGGGCAGAGGCCGCCGGCGGGGCCGCCGGGTCGGCCCGGGGACGGGGGGCGCCCCGGGACCCACCCCCGGAGCCGGGCGCCGGGCGCGGGCGGGCGAGGGTCCGCGCGCCCCTCATTGGCCGCCTCGAGTCCCGGGGGCGGGCGCAGGGCGCGTCCGGCCAATGGGAAGTGTGGGCGCTGGAGGAGCGACTTTGAGAGTTTGGGGGGCCCTGCGGAAGCTGCGGGCCGGCCGCCCCGGCCACGTGGTTCGCCGAGCCGGCACGGGGACGCCCCCCGCCGGCCCCCCGGGCGCCCGGCGAGTCGAGGGAGGAGGCGCCGTGGGCGCAAGCCCCCGCGGGGCCACCCCGTGCCGGGCTCGGACCCGGGGCCCTGCGCTGGCCCAGCCCCCACTGGCCGTGCGGCTTCGGAGACGCCCCCTCCTCCGGGAGGGGTGCCGGGATTGAGTGACCGCGCCTGTCCCGTCCTCTCGGCCCATGCTGCCAGCGCCTCCCCCACAGGCCGCCGGCCTCCAGCGGCCACTCGTTTTACGCCTCCCGAGCCGGACTGGCAAACTTTCCCCCCTAAGGGCCAGAGCGACTGTTTTCGGCCTGGTGGGGCCATCCGGGGTCACCGTTTTCTCTGGCTTGGTTTTCCCCAACCGCCCCCCCCAGTCTTTTTTTTGGGGGGGGGTCCCACCGGGCGATGCTCAGGGGTTGCTCCTGGTTCATGCACTCAGGAATTACTCCTGGCGGTGCTCAGGAGACCATATGGGATGCTGGGAATCGAACCCGGGTCGGCTGTATGCAAGGCAAACGCCCTACCCGCTGTGCTGTCGCTCCAGCCCCCCACCCCCCAGTCTTTTTAAATATGAAAAGTGCTCGGGCCAAAGCGTTTGCCTTTCCACCTCGGTCCAGTCCTCCCAGCTGTGGTCGCTGGAGTCCCATATGTTTCCCTGGGCACTGCCAAGAGTGATCCCCGAGGGAGGAGTCAGCTGTCAGCCCTGAGCACAGCTGGGACCGTCCCCCAAACCAACAAACTGATGCACAGCCAGTGCTCAAAAACAAAAACAAAAAAATGTGCGTGGAGAGTGGAGGTGGGTGCCCATGTCAGCCGCCTGGCTGTCCCCGAAGGGCCGGGGGACCCAGCCAGGCTCCTGGCTCTGATCTCTGAGGGCCAGCACTGTAACCTGGCACAGGTCACCTCCCCTCCCCTTTCTCCTCTGTAAAGTGGACACAAACATGACCCACTTGGGGGCCGGAAGGGTAGCACAGTGGGCAGGGCCCTTGCCTTGCTTGTGGCTGACCCAGGTTGACCCGGGTTCCATCCCCGGCATCCCATATGGTCCCCCGAGCACCTCCAGGCGTGATCCCTGAGTGCAGAGCCAGGAGTCAGCCCACAAACAAACAAACAAACAAACCAACCATCTTACCTGTTTCACAGGGTGCCGCGGGGGTCAGTGGGTGGATAGGGAGCTCCCAGCAGCACCTGCCGTTCAGCCAGTGCGGCCTGCTTTAGCTGTCTCTGCAACTCACTGCTTCCTAAATGGCACTTCTGGTGGCAAGGCATGGCCTGCAGCCTGGGAGAGCTCCCCGGAGGAGGTGTTGGGATTTATCCGTCAGTTCTACAGAGGAGAGGACCAAGGGGAGCGGAGGACCAAGAGAGCCCAGAGTTTTGGGGGGGGGGGGGAATGTGTCAGAAAGGAGATGGGGTCTGGGGGTGTGGCTTAGTAGTCGAGCCCTTGCCTTTCATTTCCGAGGCCCCGGGTTTGGTACCCCAGCACCACCACAACAAAAGGAAGAGGAAACGAAAGGAAAGGGGGTGGGGGCCGGGGCGGGGCCATGACGGTTTGGAAAGGCCTCGCTTTTCGCGTGGGGTAGAGCCGGGTAGCAGCGCTGGTGCTGATGATGAGGAGGATGGCGTTGCTGGTGGTGATGGGGATGAAGGTGATGGGGATGATGGGGATGATGGGGGTGGAGGTGATGGGGATGATGGGGGTGGAGGTGATGGGGATGATGGGGGTGGAGGTGATGGGGTGTCCCCACCATGATGAGGATGACGGTGATGGGAGCCGAAATGGCGGTGCCTTCCGGCTCCTCTGGTCCTCCCCTGGCCCACAGGGCAAGGCCCTCGTCACGCCGTTCCAGCTGTGCCGATGCAGGCTGCAGGAGATGCAGGCCCGGGGCTCGGCTGGGCTGAGACCTGGCGGTCTGGGGGCAGCGCCTGCTGGCCTCTGGGGAGCCTGGCCGCGGTCAGCCAGGAGACCCGTGTCCCGGAGTGACCCAGGCCTTCCTCCCGCAGCCGGGCCCCGGGCGGCCCCTGCCCTCCTTCCCCTCCTCGGAGTGCACCTCGGACGTGGAGCCGGACACGCGGGAGATGGTGCGGGCCCAGAACAAGAAGAAGAAGAAGTCTGGGGGCTTCCAGTCCATGGGTGGGTGAACTGGGCCCGGGGTCCCACGCCCGCACGGCTGGTCCCCCGCCCCTGGGACCTGACAGGACAGGAAGTGAAGGGCACGGGGTGACATGGGGCAGGAGCGGGCATAGATAGTCGGGAATGGACAGTCGCTGAGAGGCGTGTGGGGCTGTGGCAGAGGGTTGGGGTGGGCGGGGGGTGGGGAGGGACAGCCACACGCTTGCTCTCGTGAAGCGGCTCCTGGAGCGGGAGAGGGCTGTGTCCACGGGGGCCGTGTCCAGCCCAGGAGCCGGCGTCTGTCCCTGACCCGGCCAGCCTGCACTTGGGCCCCGGAGAGAAGGGAGGGACGTGGGTCAGGGCACGTTGCTGCCACCTTTGCCGTGTGCCTCGGGCAGAGGGCCGCCGTCTGCCCCACTCGCGGTGGGGGGCTCAGGGGCGCCCCCAGCCCCAGCCAGCCTGTGTCTCCCCAGGCCTGAGCTACCCCGTGTTCAAGGGCATCATGAAGAAGGGCTACAAGGTGCCGACACCCATCCAGAGGAAGGTACTGGCACGGCGCGAGGGGAGACGCTGCTTCTCTGGCTCTCTTCTGACGCCCCCGCGCAGGGCTCGGGGACTCTCCCAGCCCTGTGCTCGGGGGGGACACAGCGGGGCCAGGCTCCGAGCCCTGCCCCGGGGAGGGTCGCCAGCAGCTCGTCCCTCCGGCCAGGGGTCCGGGCTGGGCGGCCCTTTCCCCTCCCCAGCGCCCCCTCCCTCCCTCCCTCCCCTGCAGACCATCCCCGTCATCCTGGACGGCAAGGACGTGGTGGCCATGGCCCGGACGGGCAGCGGCAAGACGGCCTGCTTCCTCATCCCCCTGTTCGAGCGGCTCAAGGCCCACAGCGCCCAGAGCGGGGCCCGCGCCCTGGTCCTCTCGCCCACCCGCGAGCTGGCGCTGCAGACCATGAAATTCACCAAAGAGGTGAGGGGGGCCGGGGCCGGGGAGGGGGTGTAGGGGGAGCCGTGGCTGAGGCCTCTCCCGCTGTCCCCCACAGCTGGGCAAGTTCACAGGCCTCAAGACCGCCCTGATCCTCGGTGGGGACAGGTAAGAGACCAGCCCTGGGCCTGCACCCTCAGGCTGGCCCAGCCTCTCCTCCCGGCAGGAGGGAGAGACCCCGGCATGTCCCACCCTGGCCAGGCCCCTCCCCCTCCCCCCAGCTGCCCTACCCTGCAGTGCTCAGGGGCCGTTCCAGGCTAGAGGCGAGACCGTGGGTTCCTTCGGGCCCTGGTCACGCCCCAGCGGATGCCCTGAATTCTGGCCCCTGCAGCTGTCCCCAGGGTGATCCAGAGGACAGCCGGGGTAGGGGCCTGTGCCCCAGCCTCTGCCCAGCCTGGCCTGTGCACGCTGCCTGCAGTTCCAGGATGGGCACTAGGTGGCGCCGCGAGTCCATCCTCCCTCTCAGGGCAGCCTGGTCCCTCAGCTGCGGGTGTGGGGTGGGAGGGGGCCCCAAGGCCACGTGTGCCCGCCACTGTCTCCTCTCCCTAGGATGGAAGACCAGTTTGCGGCGCTCCATGAGAACCCGGACATGTGAGCTGGGGGGGCTGCAGGAGGGGGGTGGCGTCACCTGCCGGCGGCCCTGGCGCTGGCCTGGAGTGACCCGGCCACGCCCCCCTTCCAGAATCATCGCCACCCCCGGGCGCCTGGTGCACGTGGCCGTGGAGATGAACCTCAAGCTGCAGAGTGTGGAGTACGTGGTGTTCGACGAGGCGGACAGGTGAGGCTGCCAGGGCGCTGGCGGGCAGGTGGGCACCAGACTGGCCCCTGATCGGCCTGGTGGGGTTTGGCTTCCCCGAGCCCGGGCCCCACGGTGCCCGGCGCCAGCCTGCCCGCAGCCCCTCCTGTAGCGTTCCTTCGGTAGCTGCTGTCAGGGACAGCGAGAGGACGCTCAGGGGACTGCTGGCAGAGAACTTGCTCAGGTTCCAGCTCCGGCCCCCCCCCCCCCCCCCCAGGGTCCCTTGAGCACTGAGCCAGGAATGAGCCCTGAGCACTGCCGGGTGTGGCCTCCAAACAGAAAAAAAAAACAGACCCTGAACGCTTGGTTCCCTGCGGTGGGCGGGGCCTTGATGGCTCCACCCACTTTCCCCAAATCTGGGTTTTTGTTTTTTGTTTTTTTTTTTTCTTTTTTCTGTATTTTTGGCTTTTTGGATCTCATCTGGCGATGCTCAGGAATTCTTCTGGGTGTTGCTCAGGGGACCCTATTGGATGCCGGGGTTGCCTGGGTTGCCACGTGCAAGACATACACCCTCTGCACCGGGCTGTTGCTCTGGCCTTATTCCCCTGCCCCCAACCTCTGGGCGGCCCTGAGGTTTGGTGGCCATCCAGGGAAAGTGGGGGTGGGAGAGGCACCCGCCCATCTCCAGGGCTGATATCCGTGGACCCCTTGGGCCAGGGCTTAGCACCCAGAGGGTATCCGGGTCTCCCTCCCTCTCCAGCGGCCTCTCCCTCTGCCTGGGGGGTTCGCCAGCCGGGAGGAGGTGAGCCGATTGCGGGGGACTCAGGCTCTCGGGGAGCGAGGCCCCGCTGGCCCTGACCTGCCCCCCACCCCCAGGCTCTTCGAAATGGGCTTTGCAGAGCAGCTGCAGGAAATCATCGGGCGCCTGCCCGGGGGCCAGCAGACGGTGCTCTTCTCCGCCACGCTGCCCAAGCTGCTGGTGGAGTTCGCCCGCGCAGGTCAGTGGTCCTGGGGGGGCCGCAGTCCCCGGGGGAGGGTTTCTGTTGGGTGCCTGGGGGCTGCCTCCTCTCAGACCCACACCCCCACCACCCCTTTTGCAGGCCTCACGGAGCCTGTGCTCATCCGGCTGGACGTGGACTCCAAGCTCAACGAACAACTCAAGGTGAGGCCTGACCCAGCCCCTCCTGGCCGCTGCAGTGACCGGGGCCCCCCAAGCCGCCACGCATGACCCCTCTCCCCACAGACCTCCTTCTTCCTGGTGCGCGAGGACGCCAAGGCCGCCGTGCTCCTGCACCTGCTGCGCAGCGTGCTACGGCCCCAGGACCAGACGGTGGTCTTCGTGGCCACCAAGCACCATGCGGAGTACCTCAGCGAGGTGAGGCCCCCTCCCCCCCCACCTGCAAGGCAGGCGCGGAGCCGCAGGTCCACGTGCGGCCACCAGAGGGCGGCACACGCCCGCAGTACACAAGCCCGGTTTTTCTGAAAATATTTTGAGATGAGTAAATAACGAAAGAGCCAGGCGCTGGGCAGAGAGTTCTGTGGGCTCAGTGGGTGCTTTGCACGGGGAGGTCCAGTTCCCGCTGCTGGCAACCCCTGCTCCCTTGCATGCCACAGAGAGTGCTCCCTGAGCACCCCCAGGTGTGCCTCCACCCACCAAAGAAGTAAATGGTAAAAATCTCAAGCAGATACTGAAGCCAGAAGCAGCACCTCGAGCTCCCAGGGGCTCCCCCTGCATTGGGGGCGACATTTGAAGGGTCCTAGCCAGCACCCCCCCACCCCGCTTTCCATGGGTTTGCCCGGCTGCTCCCCACCGGACATGACAGATCTCACACACACACACGCTGGGCATGAGCAGGCGGATGCAGCCAGGCCTGGACCCCCGGGGGCCTCTTCTCAGCAGCCCGCCCAGCCCTGGCGTCCCTGACACGAGTCCCCGAGTCTCCTTCCGCCCTGGCACTGCCTCGCACAGCTGCAGGCCCAGGCTGCCGGCCCCTCTGGGCTCCCTGTGTGTGTTCTGGGTCTGCTTGGACCCCGGGGCCCCCTGAGCTGCAGGCCAGCCTGGGAGGGCGGTTAGGGCTGAGGCAGGGTCTGGGCACCCCTGCCAGGCCTTCTGGTACCAGGTGTTCTGCAGAGGTGGGAGGTAAAACCACACCCCCCTCCACCCCCCCCCCCCCCCCGGCCCCAGCCAGCTGGGTTTCACGTGGGTGTGGACCCCAGGGCCCTGGGCCTCCCCATCAGCTGTCCCCCTGCCCTCACCTTCTCACTCGTGCCCCCTCCCCTCCACTCCGGCAGCTGCTGACGACCCAGGGGGTGAGCTGCACCCACATTTACAGCGCCCTGGACCAGACAGCCCGCAAGATCAACCTCGCCAAGTTCACACACAGCAAGTGCTCTGTGCTCCTTGTCACCGACCTGGCGGCCCGGGGCCTGGACATCCCGCTGCTGGACAACGTGGTCAACTACAGCTTCCCCGCCAAGGGCAAGCTCTTCCTGCACCGCGTGGGTGAGCCTGGCCCCTGCGAGTGCCGGTGTCCTGTCCTGCCTTGCCGTGGCTCCGCGCGGGCTTCGGCCTGCAGAAGGGGGCGGGGGGGTGGCGGGGGTGGTGGACTTTGACAGGAGAGGCCGCTCGGCCAGCATGCCGGGCACTGGGTCCAGCTCACTGTCCTCCCCACAGGCCGCGTGGCCCGGGCCGGCCGGAGCGGCACTGCCTACTCTCTGGTGGCCCCTGACGAGCTCCCCTACCTGCTGGACCTGCACCTGTTCCTGGGCCGCGCCCTCAGCCTCGCCTGCCCCGGGGACGCGCCCTCGGGTGAGTGGGCCGTGGGCTGCCAGGGGGGCTCGATCCCAGGAAGATCCTGCGCTTTAACTGGCCTTTCACCTGCAGGTCCTGCTGCCTGGGGGAGTGGTCGGGTGGGGGAGGGGCCCCGGAAGGTGGGGCTCCTGTTAAGAGTGGCCCCCCTTTCCAAATTTGTGTGACCCGCCCAGGCCCTGGGTGCTGGGGGGGTGCAGGGAGGGAGAGGGGCGCGTCCACAGGACTCCCCAGCTCGGGCAGGACGGCCTCAGCCAGGTCCTGCAGGCAGGGTCCGCGTGTCTGTCTGTCTTTGTGTGTGTGTCTGTCGGGGCAGGCTTTGCACATCCATCCTGTGTGTGTGTGTGTGTCCGTCCATGCAGGGTCTGCCTGTCTGTCATGCAGGATCTGTGTATCCATCTATGCAGGGTCCATGTGTCTGTTGTGCATGTGGGGTCCGTGTGTCCATCCATATAGCATCTGCATGTCTGTCTGTGCAGGGTCTGTCTGTCCGTCAGTCTGCAGCCCGGCAAAGGGTTTTTCCCACAGGCCTCCCTCTGCCAGTGACCCGAGGCCCCGGGGAGGGCGGGACTGTGTGGCCGGGCCCCCAGGAGAACCGGCTGCGGGTCCCTCGGCCCCCCAGGTCGTACCCAGACATCTGCCCCAGGCTGGCAGGGTCCCGAGGCCCGCCCTGCCCGGGACGGCGGGAATCACCCAACACGGCTGCTGTGGTGCTGACCAGGGCTCGGGGGCCATCCCACAGCGGGGGGCGCAGACGGCGTGCTGGGCCGGGTGCCGCAGACTGTGGTGGACGACGAGGACGGCGGCCTGCGGACCGCGCTGGAGGCCTCGCAGGAGCTGCAGGGCCTGGGCCGCGTGGCCGGCAACGCGCAGCAGCAGTACGTGCGCTCGCGGCCCGCGCCCTCGCCAGAGTCCATCAAGAGGGCCAAGGAGCTGGACGTGGCCGGGCTGGGCCTGCACCCGCTCTTCAGTGAGTCCCCGTCCCCCGGGCGGGCGGGGCGCTGATGGGGGGCGGGGCAAGGGGCTGGGGGGGGGCCTGGCCTCGCTCAACGCCCCTGCCCGCAGGCTCACGCTGCGAGGAGCAGGAGCTGCAGCGCCAGCAGCTGGTGGACAGGATCCGGGGCTACCGGGCGCGGGCGGTAAGTGGCCGTCCCCAAGACAGAGCAACTCGCCGGTGCCCGAGCCCAGCTTGGAGAAGCTTGGGAAGCCGGAGGGCTCTGGAAGGCTCGAGAAGGCAGCCCTGGGGAGTGGCAGGATGCAGGGTCCTGGGGCCATGATGGTGGCGCGGACTGGAAGCCCAGCTTGGCCTGGCCACCGGGCCTGGGCTGTTGGGTTTCAAGTTTTGGTTTTTGGGGTCATACCTGGTGATGCTCAGGGCTTACTCCTGGCTCACCGCACTCCTGGTCACCCTGATGGGCTCGGGGGACCCCGTGGGATGTTGGGAATCGAACCCAGGTTGGCCGCATGCAGGGCAAACGCCCTCCCTGCTGCACGATCGCTCCGGCCCCTGGACAGTGGGAGCCCACTCTGGTCACCCCTGGGAGGGCAGATGAGTGTCCTCCACCCCGCGGAGTGGAGGGCCCAGAGCGGAGTGGAGGGCCCAGAGGTGACCCTCGCCCCCACACACAGACCATCTTCGAGATCGGCGCCTCCAGCCGTGACCCGGGCGGCGAGGTCATGCGCGCCAAGCGGCAGCGGCACTGCGGGGCCATCGCCAGCTTCCAGCGGGACCTGCAGGCGCGGCAGCGGGAGCAGCGGCGGCGGGAGGCGCCCGTGGGCCCGGCAGCACGGGAGGAACAGCCGCAGCCGCGGGAGGAGGAGGAAGGAGAGGAAGAGGAGGGTGGTCCGAGCGTGGAGGTGCGGCCCAGGGACCCTGAAGGCCGGGAGGGCTGGGGGTGGGGCTGTCCTGGGGGCTCTCCCCTGGGGTCTCAGTCTCCTTGCCTGCAGAGTGGGGACGAGGCCCCCCCCACCCTAGTGCCAGCCAGGACCAGAGCCGGCAGGACCGAGAACCGAAATCGGGGTCTGAGCGGTCACTGCCTGTCCGCGTGCCAGGGCTCCCTGGTGGGCCTGGCTGCGTGGCCGCTGTGTGGCCTTAGGAAAGCCCCTTGGCAGGCGGGTTCAGGCGTGGGTGGATCCAGCCCCGCGGTGGCTCATGTCAGCATCTGCGTCTGTCCCTCGAGGTCCGAGACAGGCAGACGTGGCCGAGCACATCGCTGGGCTGCTTTGGGGTGCTCCCACCCGCTCCCTCCGTCCATGGGGTGTCCTGGGTTTGGTGTGTGTGTCCCCCTCCCCCCCGCCCCTGTGTTTCCTGTGGGTGAGTCCAGCCTGAGCCAAGAGCCCGGGACTGGGTGTCACGTGCGGCCCGTGGCGTCTGCCCCACACCGGCGCTGTCTGTCCTGCGTCTGCTCGTGCTGCGGGGTTGGTGGGCTCCCAGGCAGCGGTGTGACGCTGGCCCTGGGTCTCTCAGGACGTCTTCACCGAGGTGGTGGGCCGGAAGAGGTGGCAGCCGGGACCCGGCGGCAGAGCCAAGAGGCGGCGGGGGGAGGCGCAGCCGCGGGACCCGCAGTTCTACGTGCCCTACAGACCCAAGGACTTCGACAGCGAGCGGGGGTGAGCGGCTGGCCTGGCTGTGGGGGCGGCGGGGGACCACAGCCCCCTCACCTCTCCTGCCCCCTGCAGCCTGAGCGTCGGTGGGGACGGTGGTGCCTTCGAGCAGCAGGCGGCCGGCGCCGTCCTGGACCTAATGGGGGACGAAGCCCAGAACCTCACCCGCGGCCGGCAGCAGCTCAAATGGTGAGTGGGTGCGTGGGGCTCTTCCTGTCTGCCCGTGGCCCCTGTGCCCCCGAGAGCAGGGCCTTTGCCCCCCCCCATGGTCCTGCCCGCGTGTGGCCGGGGGTCCCGGGTGCCCACAGTCTGGGCCTCGTGCCATCGGTGGAGCGCCGTGGCTTTCCCCCGGAGAGGGCCGGCGGGACTGGACCCCTCCCTCCCTGGAAGGGCTTCACCCGGCAGGTGGGGGCGCGCCTGATCCAAACGGGTCAGAGCGTCATGGTGTGGGGGGTGGGGGGGGACCCGCCTGCCCAGGCCATCTCCCTCCATGGCAACCCAACCCCATGCCCTGCAGGGACCGCAAGAAGAAGCGCTTTGTGGGACAGACGGGACAGGAAGACAAGAAGAAAATCAAAACGGAGAGTGGGCGCTACATCAGCAGTTCCTACAAGAGAGACCTGGATCCTTGGAGGCGGGGCCGGGGCCTGGGTGGGCGTGGCCACAGGCAGGCTGGGGGTGGGGGGCGGGAGCAGCCTCCCCTCCCATCTCACAGCGCCCCCCATCCCCATCGGATGGCCCTGTCTGCTGAGGTGGGGACCAGGGCCCTGGCCTGATTTCTCCAGCCGTGCGCAGCTTCCTTGACACAGTGTCCTAGCTACCAGAAGTGGAAGCAGAAGCAGAAGATCGATGACCGGGACTCGGAGGACGAAGGACCCTCTGACCGGCGAGCCCCCGAGCACAGGGGAGGAAGGCGGGGCCGAGGCCAAGGTGAGAGCCGCCCCCGGGCTTCCCCCAGAGCCCGCCCAGAAAGCGAGCGGGGCCTTTGGTCTTCGGAGGACCTGCAGGACCTGCAGGTGACCGGGTCCTCACCCCAGTCCCTCTGCCTGTGGGGTGCCGCAGCTGAGCATGCAGCCAGGGAGGGGTGTCGGGACAGGCTGGACGCTGAGCACCTTCGGGGGGAAACTGACTGCCCAGTCTATGGTCAGGGATGGCCCGGGGCACCCAGCCACTGGCGCATACCCTGCCCCAGTGTGCTGGTCCCCCCTCTGCGGGGCTGGTTGCTGCCTCTTCTGTGGCTGAGTCTGTCCAGCAACCTGTCCCTTGCCTGCCCTCGCCCCACTCTGCTCCATTCCGCTCACTCGTCCAGCCACGTCCCTCTGCCCTCCTGACCCCATCCCTCCATCCTCCTGGCCCCGCCTCTCTGCCTCCTGGCCCCGCCCCTCCACCCTCCTGGCTCCGCCTTTCTGCCTCCTGGCCCCACCCCTCCACCCTTCTGGCTCCACCCCTGACCCCGCCTCTCCGCCCCTGACCCCCCCACCCCTGGCTCTGCCCTTCTGACCCCGCCTCTCTGCCTCCTGACCCCGCCCCTCCGCCCTCCTGGCTCCGCCCCTTCACCCTCCTGGCCTCTCTCCCACCGAGACCCATCCGGGCCCTGTGTGTCGGCTTCACCCCCATTTGCTCCGTTGGGGTTTTCTCTGCGTGTTTGCGTTTTCGACACTTTCCAGGCCGCTCTCTCTGGGTCTGTTTCCCACCTCTCACGCTGGCCCTGTCCCACCCTCCTGTATCTCCCCTCTGATCACTTCCTGCCTCTGCCCCTCTGCGTCGGCTCTCAGACATGATGCACACCATGCACACGAGTTCACACACACATGTGCTCACAGATTCTCCTGGTTTGCCCCGGGCTGCTGGCGAGGGCAGCGGGGACAGCAGCTGTGTGTCCTGTGCTGTCCTTGCCGGGGGTAGTGGACCCGTCACTCAGGCTGCCGTGGACACACTGGGGCCGCCTTAATGACCAGCTGTGCCAGACAGACAAAGTCACTTGCTGAGGGTGGGGAGGGGAGCATGGAAGGGGGGCCACGGTGCACAGGGCAGGCAGGAAATGCTGTCCAGCCCAGGGATGGCAGGCAGGACAGGGCCTTCCCCTCCTGCTTGCTGCTGACCGGAGCTGACTGGCCCGTGGGACGGGAACTGATCTCTCTGGTGCTCAGGTACCCAGGGCCAGCCTCAGAGGAGGTGCTCATCAAACCACACTGAGTGACGTGACCCTCACAGTCACTCCTGGGTGGGCCTGCTGGTGGCCAGGCCGTTAGGGCTGGCACGGGAGGTCCATCACTCAGTCAGGGGGCGGGCAAACAGAATGAGAAGTCAGTGACTGGCCCAGGGTCCGAGAGGCCGCAGCTTATCTTCCGGCTCTCGGCCCCATGTGCTGACCACTGCTCTGGGCTGCCTGGGCTTTATTAAGCACCTACTGTGTGCAGCTGTTGGGGCTGGCGCTGTGAACCCAGCCAGGCTGCAGGGAGGAGGAGACTCAGGCATCATGCCCAAGGCTTGACCCCGCTCCCATCCCGGCAGGTGCCTCTCAGCCCCGCACCCCAGGGCCCCCTGCCGGCCGCGTGCGTTCCGAGCTGAAGACCAAGCAGCAGATCCTGAAACAACGACGCCGCGCGCAGAAGATGCGCTTCCTGCAGCGCGGAGGCCTCAAGCAGCTCTCGGCCCGCAACTGCCGCCGGGTGCAGGAGCTGAAGAAGGGCGCCTTCGGCCGGGGCGGCCCCTTCAACAAGAAGGGCAAGATGAGGAAGAAGATGTGAGGGAGGCGGCTGGACCTCCTGAAGTGCGCCCTGCAGGACCTTTGTCCTTGGCAAGCAACACTGCACAGCCGGTCAGAGACAGTCTGCAGAGATGGGAGCATTTGAGCAGGGTCTTGAAGGATGCATGGGAGTGTGCCAGGCAGGCCACGACCCGAGTTGGTGATTTGCTGCTGCTTCCCGATGTTTGGGGTTCTGAGGTCGTTGCCCACCCGGTCTGAGCCCCGAATGTCTAAGGCCCGATGGAGTCTTTTTAATAAACCTTATCAGTCACACCTCCTGTCCCCCGAGTGCACTCTCCAACTAGGGCTTCGAGGGGCTGGGCAGTGTCTCGACCCATCTTAGTTGCCGGTGATGGGCACCGTGTGAGGGAGTCCCACGTGACCCACAGGCCCCTTGAGGGTGGCTTCCACACTCCTTCCTACAGAGGAGAAGGGGGGCTCACACGTGACACATGCCTGAACCCAGAACCCACCTCCCTGGTTCTGCTCCATCACTTGGCACAGTGCACAGTGGGGGGGTGTGGCAGCGGGTGCCACGGGAGGATCTGCCACGTGGCCCCCTCACCACTACTATTCATCTTCTTGCCCTCCGGAAGTCACGGTGCTGGGCTTGCTTCCAAGCACCTGCAGTCCCTGGGGACGTCGACCCCGCTGCCAGGAGGGCTGGGGCCGGGGTGGGTGTGAGATCAGGGCCCCCCATGTTTCCTGAGCACAGGTCGGCCTGGAGCAAGTACGGGTCTGAACTGCACCCGGGTAATTTTCGCTCCCAGGGTCCCCAGGGCGAACCACAACACTCAAGAAACGCAGATAGTCCGCTGGGGTGGGAGACAGGTGGCACGCTGGACCCATTACGTTCACAGTTCCACTGCCCTTGATGGCCCTCACACAGACCCCGGCAGCCTCCCAGCCTCACGTCCACATGGTACCCCCTCTCTGGGGCCCCTGTCCACACTCACCGTGGTCAATGCGGGGCGGTGGGGGTCGCAGGCTCAGCCTGGTGAAGGCCGCGCAGTGTGGCGCCGAGGTCCAAGATGAACAGCCTCACCTGTGGGAACCGCAGGCCAGTCGCCTCCCTGCCCCTGCACCCCAGCTCCTGGGGGGCTAGGAAACCCGCTTAAAAGGCAACAAAAATACGGGTTCCCAGGACAGCGTGTCCAGGCCTCTCACCAAACAGTCTCCAGCCCCTCAAGGCCTCTGAATCAGACCAGCCTCTCCACTCCCCGGTCCGGCGTGTTTAGTTTCCTCCTAATTGGATCCGTCACTCCCCGGTGGAGGACCTATTCGCGTCCTCACTGTGGGGGGCCTTCCCTATTTTGTTTGAATTAACTGAATATTGACATGAACTTGAATGCCTCATGGGTCCACTGCCAAGCACGCAAACCTTGGGCATCGGGGGTCGTGGGAAACCCACAGCGCAGTGAGGCGGAACAGCTGTCTCTGGGCAGTGGGGAGTGAGTCCCAGATAGGAGGGGGCAGCTACTGGCTGAGTTGCCCCCTGCAGCACCTCAGGAGGCTCATCTAATAGCTTCTATCAAAGGGTACTATCCTGTGTCCTTCTAGAGTCATCCACGGTCTCAGGGTCTGCAGCCACACTGGGGCTCCAGGGGCCCATTTCCTGGCACTGGGTGGAATCATGACTGTTGCATGCAGGAGGGGAGTGGATTGGTGGGGTGTGTGTGTGGGGGGGGGGGGGGAATCTCCCTTTGTCTCTGCTTCTGAAAGGGGCCACTGAAGCTACAGGACTGTCACAAGTCCAGCCCCCTCTGGAGCCTGAAGCACAGTGAGCCTGGCTCACAGGGTCACTGAGCAGGGCCATGATCAGGGACCACCGCCTGCCCTTCGGAAGGAAGCCAGGCCTGTCCGTGGGGTCAGAGGTTATTACAAGGACCCTCCACCTACTGGATCCTTATCAGTACTTGCCACTTGGGGCCCCAGAAGATAGTACAGCAGGTAGGATGATTGCCCTGCGCGCTGCCAACCTGGGTTCTATCCCCAGCACCCCAAACAGTCCTCAGAGCACTGCCAAGAGTGACCCCTGGCCCTGAGCACAGAGCCAGGAGTGACCCTTGAGGACTTCTGGGTGTGGCCCCAAAACAAAATACCTGTCAACTTGTGCTTGATCAAGGAGCAAGACCAGACACATGGGGGCGGCCAGCACTCACCCTGGCCCTCAGGAGAGCCTCTTCCGCCGGCCACTTAGCAGATGCCAGTCAGGGCTGAGGCCAGTCCAGGACTCCCAAGCAGGGTGCCTGCCCCCGAGCAGCAATGGAGTCCAGACCCTGGGGGCGAGGGTCAACCCACAGAAGGCAGGATCTCCCGCAGCTGGAGTGTCCCTGGGTTTGGTGGGCGGGATGACGTCAAGAGAGGGCTCACCTGCTCCAGCTGCCCCTCCGTGTCACAGATGTCCAGGATCGGAGGCTGCTTCCGGTGCTGGCACACCAGCTGGAACATGTTGAGCACTGACATCCGGGTGCGGCCCAGAAGCAGCGTCTTCTCAGACGCCGTGTTCTGGATCTGGACCCACTGGGATTCCTGGAGGACACCCCGCTTCCGGATTAGTGTGCAGGAGGTGTCCAGACCCGTCCACCTGCCAGTCAGGTGTGCAGAAGCACTCCCGAGGACTCAGAACAGGCGCCAAGTTCTGATCAGTGCCCAAAGGTGCCTTCCGGTGCCGGAAATCCCTGGGGCGGGGCGCAGTCACCTCTCTCGGGTGAGCAACTCTGGGTGAATTCCCGAGACCCCGGCAAGGGGGCGGGGCGTAAACTCGATGGGCGGGGCCTTTGGGCGTGGTCTCGGTGGGTGGGTGTGTCCTTGGTGGGCGGAGCCTGAACCAGGCCTGGTCCCCGTGGGCGGGGCGAGGTGTGGTCTCGGTGGGCGGGGCTCGGCTGAGCGATGGAGCGGGCGTGGGTTCGGTGGGCGGGGCGTGTGGCCCGTTGGCGGGGAGGAACTTCGGTGGGTGGGGCCCTGTGGGGCGGGGCATGCTATCGGTGGGCTGGGCGGGGTCTGGGGCGAGGTGTGGTCTCTGGAGGGCGCGGACATGGTGGGCAGTGTGTTTTGTGGGGTGGGGACTGGGCGGGGCGGGATATCTGTGGGCGGGACGAGGTCTCGGCGGGCGGGGTCTGGGCGGGGCTATGTCTCGGCGGGCGGGGACTGGGCGGGGCGCCGTCTCGGTGGGCGGGGACTGGGCGGGGCGCCGTCTCGGTGGGCGGGGACTGGGCGGGGCGCCGTCTCGGTGGGCGGGGCGTACCCGGCGCAGCGTCTCCTCCCGGGCCGCCTCCAGGCGCTCCAGCAGCTCCGCTCGCCGCTGGCCCTGCCGCAGCAGCTCGTCCTGCTCCGCTTCCCGGAGCCGCTTCAGCCCCGCGCGCGCCTCCTCCAGCCGGGCGCCCTGCTGGCGCTCCGTGAGCTGCAACTCTGCCAGCGTGTCGGCCAGGCAGCCGTAGCGCGCCACCAGCTCGGAGACCTCCTGGAACTGGGAGGGGGTCGCCGCGTGGTCGGAGACTTGGGGGGCACTCTCCGGAGATGCCGTCTCTGCCCTCCCCAAGACCCTTGGCCCTCGGCTCCTCCGCCGCAGTCAGCCCCACTGTGAAATGGGGGCGTCGTGCAGACAGCCCCTGTCGACAGGGAACTTCCTCCCGCCCTTCTCCTCCCCGGCAAGCCTAGCTCCAGTCCCTATTGGTCCACTGTTTCAATCAGCTTATTTATTGTGTGCCCGCATCTCCCCGGTCCGCGTCCCGGAGGCAGCCTCAGTTTCCCCAACAGAGCAGAGCCCGTCCGTGGCACGCAGCCTGCGCGCAGGCCGCGACCCTGCCCGGTTCCCTGCGCGGGGCGCTCACCTCGGGCCGCTGCTCCAGCACCCGGCCCAGCAGGCGCGCGCAGGGCTCCAGGCGCTGCAGCCGGCGCCGCAGCCGCGCGCGCTCCTCCTGCAGCCCGGCCAGCTGGGCCCGCAGCCGCTGCGCCTCGGCCTCCTGGCGCTGGGCGCGGCGCCGCTCCTCGGCCGCCCTCCGCAGGGTGCGGCTGCGCCGGGCCTCGGCGTCCTGGGCACGGAGAGAAGCGACCACCCGGGACACACCCAACACTCCCACCCGCCAGGGGCCGCAGGCTCAGGGACACCTCGCTCCTCTCCACCCACCCCTCCAAACCCCAACTTGGAATTTTTTTGGTTCTTGGGCCACACGTGACGATGCTCAGGGCTTGCTCCTGGCTCTGCGCTCAGGAATCACTCCTGGGATGGAACCCGGGTTGGCGGTGTGCAAGACAAGCGCCCTACCCACTGTACTATCATGCCAGCCTCTCCAAACCCGAACTTCTAAGACTCAGTCCTGAGACTCAGTGAGTGCCTGCCTATCCCCCGCCAACCCCTTTGGTACTTGTGAACTTTTTGAAACTTTCCCTGAAGCCGTTAGGTGTGAATTGTCCAGGCAGGTCATCCACGGCCTGGGCGACTTCCAGGTACCTGCAAGAACTTGTCAAAGCACACGAAGGACCCCTTCAGCGCCTGCTCCTTCCGAGCCAGCTCCTGCCAGCGCTGCCTCAGGGCGGCCATGGTCGCCTGGAATGCCTGCAGGGACAGACACTGGCCTTCAGTTCACCCAGCACCTTCCCGTCCACTCTTACTAGCTCTTCTTTTTTTTTTTTTCCTTTTGGGTCACACCCAGCAATGCTCAGGGTTTACTCCTGGCTTTGCACTGAGGAATTAACTCCTGGCAGTGCTCAGGGGACCATATGGGATGCCGAGGATCGAACCTGGCTTGGCCGTGTGCAAGGCAAATGCCCAACCCGCTGTGCTATAGCTCCGGTTCCCTTAGAAACTCTTTGACCTGGTCTTGTCCAGGGACTTCTGCTTAGCTCGTTCCCTGCCCCTCACCCCCTCCGACCCTGATTCCCAGAGCTCCTGCTCGCCAATTCCCCGCCCTGCCACTGGGCCTCCTGGTACCCTCTGGCTTCCCAACACATCACCGCTATCTTCCTTGCCTTCCAGTCTGTTTATGCGGGTGCTCAGGTTTTGTTTATGCGGGTACGTCCATTTCTCCCTCCTTGCCCTGTCCCGCCTTGGCTGGGAAAGCTGACCTGCCCTCCAGTTAGGACCTCGCTTCCTCCGGGAAGTCCTTCCTGACCACCCCAGGTAGAGGGGTGGGCTTCCTCTGGGTCCCTGCTCTGGGCAGCTCCACCTGAGCCTTGGCATCTTCTAAGCCCCCTAGATTGCAAGGCCCTGCATCAGGGGTCGTGGTGGAACTCTGTCTCTCATCTAACCCCCGTCTCACAGAAGGAGAGACCAAGTCGAGAGCAGCGAATCGGCCTGTCTCTGACCTGGTGGGCCTCTCTCTCCCAGCACCTATGTCTGGGGGCCCCTGAAGTCCCGGTGGGCCTCACCTTCTTCTGATCCTGCAGGCCCCGATCTGCATCTTCCACCTCCTGCTTCTTCTCCAGGAGGCTCAGCACAGGGGGTGAACGGTCCCCAGCTGGCCTTGGGGCCCTCCTGTGGGGACTCAAGGAGACAGTGTCCGTCAAGAGTCAGGGTCTGCCTTGGGGCTGGAGCGATAGCACAGCGGGAGGGCATTTGCCTTGCACACGCCCAACCCAGGTTTGATTCCCGGATCCCATATAGTCCCCGGAGCACCGCCAGGAATGATTCTTGAGTGCAGAGCCAGGAGGAACCCCTGAGCAGTCGGGGGTGGCCCTCGCCAAAAAAGAGTCAGGGCTGAGGCCGGAGTGATGATAGTACAGCAGGAAGGGCGTTTGCCTTACACACAGCCAGCCCAAGTTCGATCCCCGGCATCTCAGATGGTCCCCCGAGCACCGCCAGGGGTGATTCCTGAGTGCAAAGCCCGGAGAAACCCCTGAGCATTGCTAGGTGTGACCCAAAAAGAAAAATAAAAGAGCATCAGGGCCCCCCAACTCCTCACTGGGACTCTTCCCCCTCCCCTGCCCCCGAACTATAGAACTCAGGGGTGGGAGTGGGGATGGGACCTGGACTGAGCAGAGAAGAAATCCCAGGACAAGACCCACAAATCAGACCTAGGTCAGCCACATTCAACGCCTCCCAGCGGCTGGGGCTGCAGAGCTGGCCAGGGACCCACACTGCCTGAGCTAGCCTGGCTGCGGCGTCTCTCTGAGCCTCAGTCCCTCCATCTATGACGTGGGTGCAGGAAGTCCCCCGCCCCCTCCAGGAGCTGCCTCTGGTCAGGCAGGGTCCCAACGGGTCTTCCTTCCCCCCCGCCCTCCGGGCCACGCCGGCCACGCACCGGGGCAGCTTCTCCCGCCGTGCCAGTCGGAAGTTGCCCTCCCAGGGCGTCGCCATGCTCGGGGCTCTGCTTCTCCTTCTTCCCCACCAGCTGGGGTTTTGCACAGATCTAGGGGGCCCCCGGGGGGCTCTGCTGGAGGGAGGCACAGCTTTCTCCCTGCTCCCGTGGCAGCGAGGCTCGGCACGCAGACCTCGGTTGTCTGGGCAACCACCAACACAACATTCCAGTGCCTGGCAGAGCCCGAATCTATCCGCTCCAGAGGGGGCTGGGTGGGGAGGTTTTAATGCCTTTCTAAAAGGAAAGAAATCTGTTTTCTTATTGAGTTATTTCTCGGGGGGGGGGGGCGCAGCATAAGGGGCCCTGGGATCCCCCTCCCGTGTTCTCTCTGATGATCATTTATTCAGACCTGATGATGCAGAGCTGGGACTTAGCTCTGCAAGGCCTGGGCTCTGTTTGTTTGCCTCCACCTGACTAACACTATTTTTTTAGAGTCACACCTGGCAGGAGTTGGGAGCTACTCCCGCCACAGTGCTCTGGGGTTGCTCCCAGTGGAGCCCGGGATTAAACTGGGGGTGGCCACAAGCTTAACCCCAGATTACTTCTCAGGTCCCCGCGAGCTGTGTTTCCAAAAATTAGCTGTAGTTCCTCCGGTGCCAGAAGCCTCCTCAGCGCTTTGTCAGAACATCATGAGGAGAGGAAGTAGGGCGGAAGCTAGATCTGTCTCTAAACGCTTTCATGCAGTCGCACACACCAGCTTTCCACATCCATTGAGAGGGCGTTCCAAGAAACTCGGGCAAAGTGTTTCTGGATGTGAAAACACTGATCAAGACCTAATTTGCATCAAGTGCAATTAATTTGCCTCACATCCAGTTCTGTGGGTGTGGCAGCGCGTTCGTGAGGTGGTATGGGCCAGTCAGCCCATTCTTCATCACTGACTACACGACTTGTGCGCTGTAATTTGTACGTTCCTTCTCCCATTGTGATTCCAGTTCTGGGAAATTTCCAAAATCTGCTCTGTGTGTGTGTGTGTGTGTGTGTGTGTGTGTGTGTGTGTGTGTGTGTAAGTTTAGAAGTAATAATTCAGGGGCCGGACTGGTACTACAGCAGGGAAGGTGTTTGCCTTGCACGCAGCCAATCTGGGTTTGATCCCCAGCATCCCATATGATCTCCCAAGTATCTTCAGGAGTAATTCCTGAGTGCAGAGCCAGGAATAAGCCCTGAGCATCATCGGATGTGCCCCCAAAAGAAAAAATTTCAAATCATATCTTGCGGGACTTTGGATAACACCTCACGGTGCTAATAGTTGAGGTTGTTGCTGGCTCTGTGCTCAGGAGTTACTCTTGGTGGTGCTCAGGGGACCGTGTGTGGTCCCAGGGACTTAGGCAGCCAGCCTACGTGCAAGGCCAGCACCCTCTCCTGCCGTCCTGCCTCCCCAGCTCCCTGTGCAGGCTTTTGGACGGCTCTCAGCTTCCGCTTGGCCTGAGTCAGTGCATGGGTTCAGGATGGCTGAGCGGGGCAGTAAGCAGGTTTGACCACGTCCAACCCCAACCTGGCTTCTTAGGCAGGTTTGAATCTCAGATGAGCCACTTCCAGTTGCTCTGTGTCTGTGCTGACTGCTGATGCTGCCAGCTTTTTAAAAATCATCCCCCCGGCTGGAACAATAGTCCAGCAGGTAGGGCATGTGCCTTGCACGTGGCCGATCCGGGTTTCATCCCCGGCATCCTATATGGTCCCCTGAACCCCACCAGGAGCAATTTCTGACAGCAGAGGCTGGAGTAACCCCTGAGCACCAGGTGTGGCCCCAAATTAAAACAAAACAGAAATCATTCCAAGAGATGTGGAGTTGTATGGATTTCGCTTCACAAATCTTCTGTGTGTGTGTCCGTGTGTGTGCATGGGTGTGCGTGTGTGTGAACTTGTGTGCATGTGTGGGTGCATGTGTGAGTGAATGCATGTGTGCACCTGCATGCATTCACGTACACGTGCATGCATGTGCACGATGTGCATGCATGCGTGTGTGTGCCGTGTGTGTACGTGTGTGTGAGTGCATGTACCCAGGCGTCATACATGCCTGACTTGCGTCCTGCTCTGAGCTGCAACCCCAGCCTGGAAGAACTCCTCCTGCTCAGGAGATCATAGTAGACTCGTACACACTCTAAGAGCCAGCACCTCCCTGCTCTCCCGGCGGCATTGTCCCCAGCGATGAACGTAGCAGGTATTCCAGCTGGGAAACGGGCACAGGCACAACCCGCAGATGCAACCCACGGACCGTGTTCAGCTCTCAGCGACGCTTGCGCTCACACAAACAAGCGCTTGTGGGGCTGGAGCGACAGCACAGCGGGGAGGGCGTCTGCCTTGCATGCGGCCGACCCGGGTTCGATTCCCCGCATCCCATATGGTCCCCTGAGCACCGCCAGGGGTGATTCCTGAGTGCAGGGCCAGGAGGAACCCCTGAGCATGGCTGGGTGTGACCCAAAAAGCAAAACAAACAACAACAACAACAAAAACAAGCTTGTGCACTCAGCTGGGTTTCATCATGAGGTTTCCCGTGCCCGCAGCCAAGATGCAGCACACACCCCACAAGGGTGCTCTGTGCCACCTTGTCCGAACCACGACCCACCTGCCTTTCGCCTCCCTAAGCCCCTGCAGTCACTCCTCTATCCTCGTGGTGAGTTTGGTGGCACGAGCCTCTGCATCCGGATCCCTGGCCTCTAACCTTTGGGGTCAGTTGGTTTCCCTCTGCCTCGTCCACCTGAGAGCTGTAACACGTACCGGTCACTGGGCTTTGGCACACAGACGATCCAGGATCCTAGCTGACCCCAGTTGAACCATCTGGGTTCAAGGACATTCGGGTTGTTTCCTGCTCTGGGCTTTTATGAATAAAGCCTCTGTGAAAGGCACGTCCTGGTTTTAAGCCCTTCATTCCGTAGGGCTGATGGAAGTTCATACTCAGGTGTTTGGGGATGGGATCGAACCCAAGGGCTCTCGTATGCCAGGCATGTGCCCCAGCCCTGGTAAGAAAGGGCTGTTTTCTGGAGGATGAGGACAAATTAAAGTGCTCGTCTGGCGCGAGGCTGACCCTGGTTTGATTCCTGGCATCCTGAGCACTGTTCAGTGCCGTCCCTGAGCACAGAGTCAGGAGTAATCCCTGAGCACTTCTGTCCCATCAGAGAAAGAGAGGAGAGAGAGAGAGAGAGAGAGAGAGAGAGAGAGAGAGAGAGAGAGAGAGAGAGAGGAGAGAGAAAGATAGGGAGAGTCAGAAAGGGCTTTTCCCGGCACAATTGGACTGTTTGCCCCCAGCATGCCTGAGTGACCCACCCTCCTCACGGCCCCTGGCCTGGCTTGAGCCCCCGAGAGGTGGGTGTGCCCCTGCCAGCCCTCACTTGGGTCTCTGGACCCCACAGCTCACTCTTTTCCTCTGGCTCTGTTTGGGAACTGTTCTGAGTTTTTTATTCCCGAGCTAGGGGTCGAGTGGGGCTAGCTGGTCCTTGGGGGGCGCCCCCAGCCTGTCTCGCCTCCCCCTCTGTCAGGCACCAGCACAGGCTCACAGGGCCGTGCGGCTCGAACCCTCTGGGTGCGGCATTTGCCGTCTCGCCAGGTGCTCTGGAGAGAGCTGAGAGGTCTTGGTGCTGTCTTGGGGGGGGTGCACCCCTGTCCCTGGCTCTCCCTGAAGCAGAATTGGGGGGGAAGGGTTCTGCCAACACTGACTCAGCATCTGAGGCGGCATCATCCGTGCTGAAGACGAAGCCTGTCCTGGAGGAGCTGCCAGCCCCCTGGTCTTTGGTACCCCCGGAGATGGGGACATGCTTGGTAGGGTGGGGAGGAGAGGCTGGTTGGTTTGCCTTTCTGCTGACACGCCCAGTGATGCTGGGTTGACTCCTGGCGGTGCCCAGGGAACCCAACGGCCTCCCAGGAATAGAACCCCTAGCTCAGGTGAACCGAGTGGAAGGCCAGCGGGGGCGTCCCCGCAGGGCTGTCTCAGTGACGGAGGGGAGGTCTGAGGAGCAGGGCAGGGAGGACGAGGAGGGGTGGGGAGAGGAGAAAAGCAATGCTAGCAGAGAGGAGGGCCGTGCAAGGGTCCTGAGGCAGAATCACGGGGCCCTGCCTTGTGAGCAGCGAGCCTGGAGGTGGGCTGGCGGGGTGCAAGGCTGCTTGGGATGGGGGCGCCCAGGAAGAGGCGGAGCGGGAAGCAGGGGACGTGAGAGGTGACGCCACCTTGGGGGCTGCTCTCAGTCAGGTGCACAGAGACTCTGGGCGCCCGCAGCCTTCAGCTCCGCTCTCTGCTAAGGGGGGCTGCCCCAAGCCCTCTGCCTCCGTGCACTTGGGGAGGGGCGCTGAGCTCCATCGGGACGCCCCTCTTCTCGAGGCCTGGCCCTGGGTCACCAACCCTCTGGAAATCTCCGCCGTCCCTGCAGCCACCCGAGGGCCACGCTTGACCGTTTTCCCCTTCCCACTTCTCCATTCCAAGGCGGGGTGCGGGTGGGAGCTGCTCCCGGGAAGGAGGGGGCGGGCTGTGGACAGGCAGAGGGACACCTGGATTCCGGCGGTGGGCGGAGACTGACAGGCCCATGCCTTGCGCCCACGGGGAGCTGGGAGGTCTGCCCACGCCTCCCACCGCGGCCTCCTGTCCCCGTGGCTCCCTGCCCGGATCCTGCCGCACAAACAGGGCTTTGTTTTCCGGGACAAAGTACACCTTTCCCCTCCCGCCCGGACGGCCCAGGCCGGCAGCCTCTCCCGGGCCCACTCGGGTCTCGCGGGCGGGGAAACTGAGGCTCTGGAGAGGGTCTGTGAGAGGCACGTGGTCTGCATCCTGGTGGGGCACAGGGTGTGTGTGGGGGGAGGGGGCGCTGCCATCTGGAGCACGGGGAGAGGAGTAAGAATGCGAATGAGTCTTCCAGACACCGCCCAGGGCGGGCCCGAGTCCTCTGACGCCCAGAGCCAGTGAGTTGAGAGTCCGGGGTGCCAAGCAGTGTGGGAGGCGCCGCCTGAATCAGACCTTCCCTGACATTTACGAGGGAAGACAGAGCTGTGACAATGACAGCAGCAGAGAACAGAGACTGGGGGCAGGGGGGAGGGGGGGAGGTGGCAGGGAGGAGGGAGGAGGGGGGAATGGGAGGGGGCAGGGAAGAGGGGGAGGGGGCAGGGAGGAGGGAGGAAGGGGCAGGGAGGAGGGAGGAGGCAAGGAGGAGGGAGGAAGGGGGAGTGGGAGGGGCCAGGGAGGAGGGGGGAGGGGGCAGGGAAAAGGGAGGGAGGAGGGCGAGGGGGCAGGGAGGAGGCAGGGAGGAGGGAGGAGGGAAGAGGGGGGAGGGGTCAGGGAGGAGGGGGAAGGGGAGGAGGGAGGGTGTAGGGAGGATGGGGGAGGAGGAGGGAGAGGGGAGGCTGGTTCTGTCTCCCCAGGTTCTTGGCTGGGTTTCCGAGAGGCCCCGGCTCTGTTGGTTAGGAAGTGACTGCATCAGGGCCTGAAGGTCGGGCCGGCCTCCAGCAGTCAGTCTGTGCCTGCCCTGGGGTCCCGGGTCACCGTGTCTCTGTTGGCCCTAGTTTGTCCCCACCCCAGCTCCTATGGGCTGGTGCATCCTTCCTGGCCAACCCAAGGATGTGGTGCTTGGGGGGATGCTGGGCCGCCTTGGCGGGACTTGGGGGCTCCACGGCTGCACCCGGTGGTGCCCGGGGGACTGTGAGGTGTCAGGGCTGGAACCCGGGCCAGGTGTACAAGGCCCTAAGAGCTGCCTGGGTCCTCAGCACTTTGCTAAACCCCACCCCCCACCACCAACCCACTGCGGGGGGCTGTTCACTCTGCAGGAAAGAGGCAGAGGAAGGGACGGAGGGGGCGAAGGCAGTGTGGGAGGGTGGTAGGAGCACCACCTAGGGAGCACTCGGGAGTGGGACAGTGTGTGGCAGGATTCCCCACACCCGGGGGCATGTGGTCAGACGGGTCCCCCTTCCCCAAAACAGTGACCCTTGGTTGTGATGAATCTCTGGCCGGGGAAGGCCCGGGCTCCACAGGGACAGACTCAGCAGTGCCCAGCCCGAGGCCCTGTCCATGACGGGTCAGTGCTCCCGCTGGCCCTGGGCCCGGCGGCTCAGAGGAAGGCAGGGCCCAGCCGGCGCTGGGCAGCGGGGAGGGCGCCTTCGGGTGAGGGAGTCTGATCTTGTAATCTCCGATCAGATTTCTCGGTGCGCGTGTAAACGCCCAGATGCCCGCAGTTCAGCTGTCCGGAGCCAGCCCGCCCACTGACGGGGTGACCTTTCCATCGGGCCTGGCGCTCCAGGCCAGCCGTGTCCACCCCGGGGCCCAGCCTCGTCCGGCCCTGTCCTCACCCCCATCCTCTGAGGTGGGTGCAGCAGGAGGGGAGGGAACCGAGGCCCACACGGGTGCTTTCCCGGACACTCAGCCCTGGGTGTGTGATGCAGGAGGCGACCGGATGAGAAAACCTCTGCCGTTTGTGAAAAAAATTACTATAAAAATGTTATTTGTTTGGGGCTGGAGCGATAGCACAGTGGGGAGGGCGTTTGCCTTGCACGTGGCCGACCCAGGTTCGATTCCCAGCATCCCATATGGACCACTGCCAGGAGTAATTCCTGAGTCCAGAGCCAGGAATAAGCCCTGAGCATCGCCGGGTGTGACCCAAAAAGAAAAAAAAAATATTTGTTTGTTTTTGAGTCACAGCCAGTGGTGGTTATTCTGCTCAGGGGTCACTCCTGGTGGGCTTCGGGGGAAACTATGGGGTGCTGGGGATCGAAATCAGGCCTGCCAGGTGCCAGGCAAGTGCCCACCCCCGGCCGAGGCCTGAGTTTCACTGCAGAACCACAACCATTAAAAGCTGTTCTTGATTGTTGCTTTTGTCTTTCATTTTAAGGCTGCACCTGACTGTACTCAGAGTTGACTCCTAGCTCTGTGCTCCAGGGTCGTGCCTGGAGGGGTGTGGGGGACCATGTGTGGTGCCGGCCACATGCCCGGGGAGGCACCTTCCTTACTCCTGAGTGCTCTGGCTCTGAAATCTCTGTCCTTTATTTATTTATATTTTTGGGGGGTCGTACCTGGTGATAGTCAGGGGTTACTCCTGCCTTTGTACTCAGGAATTAGGCCTGGTGGTCCTAGGGTGGTGGGGCATACAGGATTCGAGGATTGAACCTGGGTGGGCTGCATGCAAGACAAGCTCCCTCCCCACTCGACTATGGCTCCAGCCCCCCGAACTTCTGCTCTTAAGCCCCGAGCTCTGCTGCCCTTCGTGTAAGGCACTAGGAAGCTGGGCGTTGAGTCTGGGGGTACCAGACTGTGGATGGCGGCCAGGAGGTGAGTAGGGGGCTTGTTTTGAAGACAACAGGGAGGGGACTAGGTGTCCTCGAACTCCGACCTGGTGCTAGGCACATCCAGTTGAGTCCCCCTTTCCCCCCACCTCCAAGAGCCCAGCCTGGGGGGCTCAGGGACTGGCCCTTCCAGCCTGGGTTGGCCTCCAGCAAGTGACCCTCCTTCTCTTGGCCACCCTTTCCCCTCTGGTCCCTGGACAGGAGTACCTCCCAGCCCGTGCCCGTTTCCGGTCAGAACAACAGGAAGCGGTCTGTCTGGGGATGGTGACCATGGCCGCAGGTGGACAGCAGGGCCAGAGGCCGGACACTGGACAGACGACATCCAGGCTCCCTGACCTGTGGCCCTCTGAGGAGGCAGCTTGGGCTTGGGGCTTCTGGCTCAGCCATTGGCTGGACCCACCCCCCACAGCTCAGCCAGGGGTCTCTGGGTGGGCGAGAGAGCCCAGTTGAGGTCTAGGGATCTCAGGAAAAAAAGTGCAGCTGAAAACCAACCACTGAGAGGGGCGGGGACCAGGCCCCCATCAGGGCATCACTTTCCACTGACCAAGGCTTTCATGGCCCATGACCCAAGCCTGCCTGCATCACTCCTGCCTCGCCCCGGAAGATGGAGCAAGGCCGCTGAGCCCAGTGCCAGGCCAGCTGCACCCATGTTCCAGATGAAAACATTGAGGCCCCGCCTGGGGCAGCCGGAGGGCTCCTCGGAGAGTGGACACCAGGACAAGACCCAGGAGTCTCAAGCCCTCTCCAGCCTGCCGGGTGCTGGGTGGGGGTCACTGACGGGAACAACTGGGGGTAGGTGGGGGGGCTCCTCGGCCCCCCTCACTCCGCCCCACAAGTGCCGCCCCCCTGGCCTGTGGGCTGTGGTTCTCACACTCATCAGTGAGTGTGTGTGGCCTGGGGGCGTGCTCCAGGCAACCTAGGACCTCCTGAGCTCCCTCCTGGAAGGAACAGTACCAGCTAGTGTTTGTCCTGCGCCAGGCCCTTCCGCGCATTATCTTAGTTAAAATTTGAAAAGTCTACAAACCAGGAGCTGATGGGAGTGGTGTGAAAAAGAGGGAGGGCACCCTGGAAGACTTCCCAGGGGAGGTGGCCTTCGGACCAAGTCTAGAAGGGCAGTAATAATAATGATAATAATAATAATAATAATGTAGCACTGTCCTCCCGTTGTTCATGGATTTGCTCGAGTGGGCACCAGTAACGTCTCCAGTGTGAGAGTTGTTACTGTGTCTGGCATACCGAATATGCCACGGGGAGCTTGCCAGGCTTTGCCGTGCGGGCGGGATACTCTCGGGCTCCCCGAGAGGGACAGTAATAATAATAATAATAATAATAACAATAATAATAAAGAGCATTTCTCCCCTCCTCCTGCACTCCAGCCCCTCCCTTCCGGCCCCAGCAAACGCTCTTTGAAAGCGGCTTTTGTGTCTTCCCCCCCACCCCCAAATCTCATGGGATTCTCTCGAAACCTGCAAGATTCTATTTTGAACAGACAGGAAAACCAAAGCAAGGGCCCGAGAGCCAGACGCGACCGCAGGGCTGGGGGAAGGGGCGGAGGGGGACTCGCGCCTCGACCCCTGAGCACTGAACCCCGCGGAGCCTGTTGCTTTTCTCTCGGCTTTGGGCTCACACCCAGCCGTGCTCAGGCGATGCTCCGGGGACCCTACGGGATGCGGGAGATCGAACCCGGGCCGGCTGCGTGCCTGGGTGCGCCCCGCGGGCCGTGCGACCCCCAGCCCCCGCGAGCCTCGGGTTGGTTGGTCCCCCAAAAGGGGCTCCGAGCTCGACAGCCCGACGCGCGGGCGCCTGGGCCGGTTCCCAGGGTCCCCTCCCCCGGCCGCGGCTTCCTCCCCCGCAGCGCCGGGCGCGTTTGCGGGGAGCTGCGGGGCGCCGGGCCAGGCTCGACTCGGAAACTCCGCGGAGGAGCCGGCGGGTGCGGGGTGCGGGGTGCTCGCGGCGCTTCCCCGGACGCGGGGACCGGCCCGGCGCCCCCCGTCGCCCCGCGCGCCGTGCGCCCCTCCCGGCCCGCGCGCGGCGGAGGCGGGACCGCGTCGGGGAGGCGCGCGGGCAGGTGGCGCGGGTGTCGGGGCGCCCGGCGGGCCCTCGCGGGGCGCCAGGCCACGCCCAGCGGCGGGGGGCGCGGGGGACCCCGCGGCGGGCCGTGGGCTCGGGCCGCGCCTACCTGTGGAGCCGGCGCCCGCCGCGCGGACCCCGCGCCAGGTGGCCGCGTCCCCGCCCCGCGCCGCGCCGCGCCCCGCCGGGAGCCGCGCGCTCCGGCCCGGAAAGTTTGGGGCTCGCTCGGCGCCATGGCCAGGAGCAGCTCCCTGAACGTCCGCGTGCTGGAGGGCCGGGCGCTGCCCGCCAAGGACGTGTGAGTACCGGGTCCGGCGGGGACGGGGCCGCGGGGCCGCGGGGGACCGGGCGTCCCGCCGCCAGCCCGGCTCTGCTCCGCGCGCGCGGGGGTCCCCGGGGTCTGCCCGAGAGCGGGAGGGCCGGCCCGTTCACCCCGCTGCACGGAGGGGGCGCCGACGTCCAAGAGGGCCCTGACCGGTGGCCCCTCCTGCGGGGGCGTCCGGCGCTCGGGGGCGTGGGGTGTCACAGGCCTCCTGGGAAGCCGGGGTCCTCTTGGCCCCGGGCCGGGAACTCCGCGCTCGGTGCTCTTCCCGGCGCCCCTCCGCGGCCAGGTACCTGCCCCCCGCTCCTCGTTGCCGGCTGAATCAGCTGGCCTGGAGCCAGACAGGGGCTCCCCCGCCCCCCGCGACCGCGACGTCAGCACCTGGGCAGGTGGGGGGTCCTCAGCGCCCTTGAGCCTGGCGCTATGGGGTCTCGCTCCCCGCCGGGCAGGCAGCCTGGTGGGCTCTGCGTGGGGGCACCAGCCTGCGGAGACTGGGCTTTGGGCGCCTTTGCCTGGGGGGCGTCTGGGAGCCCCCCCCCCCAGTAAACAGGGAGAGCAGAAGCACCAAGCAGACACAGCCTCTGGGTAAGCCCCCCTCCCCCATTTGAGATGCCCACTCCCAAGTCAGGGATTTGGAAACTGCTCAGGGCTTTAGGGGGTCTCTCCAGAAACCAGGTTCCCCGGGAACTTAGTGCTCCATCCTGGGGGGCACCCAAGCAGGACTGCCCACCCCCAGCCCCCACGCAGAGCTGAGCCCGGCTGCTCTCCAGGCCCTGGGCTCCGACTTGCCCACCCTGTCCCACGGAGCCACACATGGCAGAGCCTCAGTTTCCCCCCCACTGATGCCTTCAGAGGGCTCTCTCCCCGAGTCAGGGCACCCTACAGGCTTCCTGAAGCCTCATCATGCCTGAGAGGGTCCCACCTGGCCGGGGGTGGCCTTGGGGAGGATTTTCCGTTGTGACTTTCTGAAAACACGAGCTCACCGCCCAGGCTGCCGTGGTGGGCCAGGCCCTGGGCATTTCAGTTTTTCCATTTCCACCTATTATTATTGTTATTATTATTATTACTACAGGGGACCACACCTTTTGGTGCTCGGGGGGGCTTTTCCCGGTGGCTCTGTGCTCAGGAGTGACCCCTGGCAGGACGCGGCCGGGACATATGTGGTGCCCAGGATTTGAACCGGCCTTCGCAGAAGCACGGCCGGTGCCTTGCTCTGTCCTGTCTTCCCAGCACAGCACTTTCGTTTCCGATGGGGGTCCCAGGCCCGGAGCACCCACACCTTCACAGGCCCCCCCTGCACCTCCCCCTGTGATTCAAACCCACCCCCGCCAGGCGGGCAGGGCTGCGGGCTCCTCTCCCAGGTTCGCCCTGGGCCATGGGAGAGGCCAGGGCTGAGAGGAGGTGTGGGGGGGGGGCAGTCACCCCTGGCTGATGGGCGGCTGATAAGGGCTGATAAGGGCTGTGCCCGCGTCAGTGCCCTGGGCTGACGTCCTGAGCGCAGCTCCCAGGAGGCCGGGGGCAGCTGGAGGACCGGGCAGGACATGACCCCAGCCCCGTGTGCCTGGAGCAGGGGTGGGAACCCCAGGGGGAAATCAGATCGAGGGGGTCACCCGGTTTCAGGGGCTCGGATGGGAAATGGGCTTCACACCCCTGCCTCCCGGGCTTGGGGTAGTTACTGAAGGGGAAACTGCGGCAGGGGCCACTAGGCAGGACCCCAGAGAGGAACGTGGAGGTCCAGGACGTTTGAGGGGCCGGGGTGGGGAAGGGAGGCATCGGGGCACCCAGGCTGGAGCTGAGGGAAGGAGCCAGAGTGGAGACTGAGGCACGGGGCAGGCCCACCTACAGAGCTGGGTCCAGGTGGGTGTCCTGTTCCCGTCCAGGAAGCCCGAGGGCAACAAAACAGAACCAGGGAGGCATCGTGGGGACAGGGGCGCTGGGGTGTGGAGAGGGGACGGAGATTGGTTCAGAGTTGTTGCCCCAAAAGTCAGAGACCTGGGTTCGAATTTTCACTCTGCAGGTGTGGGGAGAGGTAGACAGATACCGCCCGTCCCCCCAGAAGCTCCCAGTCTGGAAGTTGTGGGGTGTCAGGGAGTCAGACACGACCCAGAGACAGAGGGAGTGGGGTGGTGTGAGGCAGATCCGAGTGTGACTTCAGCCAGGCCGGCAGTCAGGGGCAGCTTCTCTGAGGAGGTGCCTCTTGTGTGTTTGCTTGGCATGAAGGAGCCACTCACGGCATGGTGTGACCTGGGCCAGTGCAAAGACCCAGAGGCTGGAGGGCGTTGGGGTGCGGGGATGGATGGGGGAACCGGGGGCCTGAGGCACTACTTGGGTGAGACTCTTATTCTGAAGGGGCGTGCAATAAATCCCGTATTGTGAAGGGGGGATGTGGCACATCTGTGCCCTGAGCTTCCACCCAGGAGGTCCTGGTGCAGGACACTCTCCTGCCCCGCCATGGGGAGCCCCCATAGAGAGGAAGGCAGCAGCTGAGGGCACACGCCCAGGGTGCACTGTCCCCTCGGCCCCTCTGGGGACCCCAGTGCGCCTGTGCCGCAGAGCAGAGAAACTGAGGCCGGGAGGAAGCATCTCCTGCAGCCACGGGCCCCTGAGGTGGGCGCTCCTTCTTCCTGCTGCGTCCTGGGGGCCCAGAGAGGGGTGGGGTGGGGGCAGGTGGGCCCCTGGGGTGCCCCATGGAGCTGTGAGAGGCCCCGGCCGGTCCCTGCCTCTGGGGCGCTGCCCGCTGCTGACCGCCCCTGCTGCCCTCTCCCCCACCCCGGCCCTGCAGGTCGGGGAGCAGCGACCCCTACTGCATCGTGAAGGTGGATGACGAGGTGGTGGCCAGGTGAGGTCCAGGGTCCACAGTACCCGAGGGTGGGGCCGACGGTGCTTCGTGCTTGGGGCTGCGGGTCCTCTCCCCATCCTGCCGCTGATGGTCACTGCAGCCCCCAGGCCTGACTCAGTGGTCATTGGTCCGTGGCTGTGGCTGTTGCCTCCCCCGGGGTGGGCAGCTGGCGCCTGGCTGGGCTGGCTGGTTCCCAGCCTGAGGGGTGCTTCAGGGTGTGTGTGTGTGTGTGTGTGTGTGTGTGTGTGTGTGTTCATAAACGTGAGTGTATACGAATGTCTGTGAGTGTGTGTGCGTATGAATGCACGTGTGTATGTGTGTGAGTGTAGGTGGGTGTGTGTAGGAATGTGTTTGCACACATGTGTATGTGTGTATGATTGTGTGTGGCCGAGCCTACCTTGGGTCTGCATAGGGACACTTGGGGGCTGGTGTGAGTGCCAGGGAGGAGCCAGAGAGAGGAGGTGTGTGTCCCTGGGGGTGTGCTCACATCGGGTACCTGTGCATATGTGCACATGTGCGTGTATGCGTGTATTTGTGCATATGCATGTATGTGCATGGGTGTGTGTGCATGTGTGCTTGCGTGTGTGCATGTGTGTAAGCATATGTGCATGTGTGTGCATGTGAGCTTGCATGTGTGCATGCATATGTTGCATGTTTGTGCGTGTGCATGTGTGCATGTGTGTGTTGCCTGTGTGTACGCGCACTCCACTGTTGATTTGGGGTGCGGGCGCTGCGGTGGACGTGCGTGACCATGTTGGGGTGACGCTCCTGCTCAGGGCCCTGCGTGACTCCCGCCCCTCCAGGCCGTTGGAGGGGCCGGTGGGCGGGCAGCGGAGGCCTCGGTTCCCATGGAGACGGCAAGAGGCTGGAGGCGCCTCCTGACGGTTCTGGTCCAGATGGGCCAGGCGGCAGGGGTGGGGAACCTGCCCAGGGGAGGGCCAGCCCGCTGCACCCCGCTGACCGTCCTCCCTGCCCGCCCTGTGCCCTGGAGCCCCTGAACCCCCTTTGACCCTGCCCGAGGCTGCAGGGGTCCTGTGTCCCAGGCGTCCTGGGTCCCAGGCTGCCGTTCTGTCTCTGGGGAGCCCCCAGCGCACGGGTACTTCTGTGGAGCAAGCCTTGGGTCAGGGGCAGAGCGGTCTGGGGGGGTGCTCAAGGCCGCTGGGTGTGTCTCACGCTCTGGCCCACCGGGAGTGTGGGCAGAGCAGAGGAGGACATTTCTCCTCAGGAGGAGCAGAGCAGATTTTGTTCCTTGGTGGGTGAGAGGAAGTGGCCTCCTACACTTGGGGTGCAGATGCTTCCTTTGTCCTGAACCCCTTGGGGTCCCCCATTGCTGACAGGGCTCTGGTTAGTAGTCCCATTTCCCATCATCACCTTCCTGTTCCTCCAACTCCTCAAGCTCCTTCCTGCCCCAGGGCCTTTGCACATGCCACACCAGACCTCTGGAGCCCTGGTCCGTCTCTCTCCTCACTCTCCCTTTACCTGACACCCTCACCGAAAGCCTCCCCTGGCCCCTCTGACCCCCACCCAGACCCTGCCAGGTCTGCTTGTCGCAGGCCTTCTCCTTGGGTGATGAGCGTTGGTGGTGGGGGCAGTGCTGGAGACAGGGCCTCAGTGCTCCTTCTGAGGACTCCAGAAGCCCTAGAGGCTTGGAACGCTGCGTGCTGGTGGCGTGAGTGGGTGGATGGATGAATGAAAGGATGGGTGGATGGACGGGGGGTGGGCAGATGGTTGGGGGATGGGTGATGGATGGATGCGTGAATTGCGGGTGGGTGGATGGGTGATGGGTGGGTGAATGAACGATAGGCGCTGGGACGCCGTCATCTCGCGCGCGCATGTGCGTGTGGTCATTTCCTGTGTGTCTGTGTATGTGTGTGTGTGTGTGTGCGAGTGTGAGCTTGTGATTGTGTCTCTGTGATGATCATGTCTCTGCGTGTCTGCTTCTCGGCACGCAGGCGTCTGCTGCTCTCTGCATGTCTCTGGCCGTGACGTGCCCCCGTGGGCGTGGCTGGCTCGCCAGGTCCCAGCAGCCGTGTGGCCCCTCAGCCCCCCACCCCCCGCGCCCCTTTGCAGGACCGCGACGGTCTGGCGGAGCCTGAGCCCCTTCTGGGGGGAGGAGTACACGGTGCACCTGCCCCTGGACTTCCACCACCTGGCCTTCTACGTGCTGGACGAGGACACCGTGGGGTGTGTGAGCGCCGGGCGCCCCTCCCACCCCAGCAGCCCTGGAAGCTGTGCCCCCTGCTGGTGGGAGGGACGGGCCCCTGGTGGGACCCCCAGCCCCTCACCCGCTCACTCTCCACAGGCACGATGACATCATTGGCAAGATCTCGCTGAGCAAGGAGGAGATCACGGCTGACCCCCGAGGTGAGTGTGCCCACCCCCCACCGGGCCCAGGGCAGTGGACGCTCACAGGTGGGAGCTCCACAGTGGGGAACGGTCTCTGGGGTCTGGGTGGTTCATGAGCACTGCTGGGAGCTCCAGGCCGTCTCAGGGTGCCGTGAGAAACAGGGGGAGACCCCAGGCCTCCTGGACTGTCCCGCTGGCCCCGATTTCTGTTGTGTCTATTTTATTTGGGGGGGCCACAGCCGGCCTTGCTCAGGGCTGACTCCTGGCTCTGTGCCCAGGGATCACTCCTGGCAGGGCTTGAGGGGTGCCGGGGATCGAACTTGGGTCAGCCGCGTGCAAGACCAGCGCCCTACCTGCCGAATTATTTCTCCGTTCCCTGTTTCTGTTTTAAATTTTAATTGAGTTTATGAAATAGTTCGTGGGCTGGAGTGATAGGGCTTTTGCCTTGCACGCAGCCAACATGGCCGACCCGAGTTCGATTCCTCTACCCCTCTCGGAGAGCCCGGCAAGCTACCCAGAGTATCTCGCCTGCATGGCAAAGCCTGGCAAGCTCCCCGTGACGTATTCGATATGCCAAACACAGTAACAAGTCTCACAATGGAGACGTTACTGGGCCCGCTTGAGTGACTCGATGAACAACAGGAGGACAGTGACAGTAACAGTGACATAGTTTGTGCATTCATGCAGTTGTCGGCCCTTTTGTCGTGGTGGTTGCTGGGGGTTTTGCCCTCTCTGTGGTGCTCACACACATCAGGCTGCAGTGCGGCTGCAAATTCCTTGCAGTGCCGGGATTGCAGAGCTGCTTAGGCTGTCACACGGGAGACCCCAGGGGCTTGAACTGGTGACCACACGCTCGCATGGCAGGTGTTTTAGGCCTCCTGCCCCGTGTGACTCTCAGCCCAGCTCTCCTTGCTCATCCTCTCTGTGGTCAGGTTTTTTTTTTCTTTTTTAGTTTTTGGGCCCCACTCAGCGGTGCTCAGGGCTTACTCCTGGCTCTGTGCTCAGGGACCACTTTTGGTGGGACTCGGGGGACTGGGTGGGATGCCGGGGGTGGAGCCTGGTTGGTCACATGCAAGACAAGTGTCAGAGTGTATTATCACCTGGGCTCTGTTGTCAGTCTCTTGGCAAAGTCTTTTGGGAGGGTTTCAGATAGACCCAAGGCAGGACAAAGAACATCAGCGACCATGGTCTGTGTGTGGCGCCTTTTCCTCTCACTTAATCAACAACCCCCCCATGAGGCCGGAGCAATAGTACAGCGGGTAGGGTGTTTGCCTTGGGTTCGATACCCGGCATCCCATATTGTCCCCCGAACACCACCAGGAGTAATTCCTGATTCCACACATAGGCGGAGGGTGGCCACCAGACCCAGGTTCCTAGAGGTGCATTTGACGGATCAAAGAAGGCCCAGATGAGCCCGGGAGATGGTTCTGGCTGCATCGCCGTCTGTGGGGAAGGGGCTGGTTGATCTGTGGGGACCCTTGCGACAGTGCTCTGGCCTTTCAGTCCAAGATCTGATAGGTTAAAAATTGCCTCTTGGACTGAGAGAGAGTACGGGGGTTCGGGCGCTTGCTGTGTGCGTGGCTGACCCTGGTTCATTTCCCAGCACGACACATGGTCCCCCGAGCACGCCAGGAGTGATCCTGAATGCAGCGCCAGGAGTCAGCCCTGAGCAGCGCTGGTGTGGCCCAAACACTTTTATCCCCTCTCCTCCAAAATTGCCTCTTGATGTAGTTTATTTTGCATTTACTTCTTCTTCTTTCTCCCGCCCCCGAGGATAAAAACCATTTTATGTATTTGAGTCTCTTTATTTCCGTTTTCTTCTCTGCTTTTTGGGCCATACCTGGTGGTGCTTAGGGGCTCAAGGGACCATATGGGATGCCAGGGATTGAACCTGGGTCATCTGCCTGCAAGGCAAGTGCCCCCTATCACTTGGACAAGGCCAACCTGGCTTCGATCCCCAACACCCCATATGGCCCCATAGTGACACCGCGTGTCATTCCAGTCCCAACTTAGTTCCTTGTTGTCTCTTCACACTGTAAGTGCGTTTTTCTCTGAATGGGTTGCTTGCCCTTTCTTCTTAATTACTAGAAGAATTCTTTATTTATTTGCTTGGTTTGGACCACTTCTGGTGATTCTTGGCTCTGTGCTCAGGAATCACTCCTGGCAGTGCTCGGGGGACCATGGGGGGGTTCTGGGGATCGAACCCGGATTGGCCGTGTGTGAGGCGAGCGTCCTACGTGCTGTGCTATGGCTCCGGCCCCACAGCTCTTTCTGTATTGGGGGAAATGGTTCTTCCGGATCAGCCAAGGCTCTCTCGGGTGGTCGCAGGGAACCGAGAGCATCACACAGGTTGCCCCAGCCACACCCAGCCCACCCCACCCGCACCCCCACAAACAAACCCCCACCAGTGTGACCGGCAGCACCCTGCAAGGGAGGGAAGGAAGGTTTTGGGGAGAATCTGAATCTCCAGCCAGCAGAGAGGCTCCGTCTCAGGCTGGGGCATTGCTGATGTCAGGTGGAGCCTGAGGGTGACCCGTGGGACAGGGAACAGCTGGCGCCCCCGGGACAAGCAGCCTCACCCCTGTCCAGGAGCGAGCAGATGCCCGGCCTCATTCCTCTGTCATTTCCAACCCATGTGACTTCTTTTTAAAAAATTTAGTTTTATAAATCAGACCTATTCCGGGGCCGGAGCGATAGCACAGCGGGTAGGGCGTTTGCCTTGCACGCAGCCGACCCAGGTTCGATTCCCAGCATCCCATAGGGTCCCCCGAGCATTGCCAGGAGTAATTCCTGAGTGCAGAGCCAGGAGTGACCCCTGAGCATTGCTGGGTGTGACCCAAAAAGCAAATAAATAAATAAATCAATAAATCAGTCCTATTCCTGCAACTGTGGATTAGTTTAAACTACAGTATAGTCTAGTTACCATAATATGCTTCAGCCGTTAAATTAAACCCACCAGCTTATCCTACTAAAAAAGATTCATTTTAAGAATCAGAACTCTTTTTTATGCATTATGTTGATTGGAATGTATTAGTAGAAACATCTTTTATATTTTCTAATAAAATAAAAATTATGTAAAAAAATTTAATTTTATTTTTATCAAGTTGTTCACAATCTTGCTCGAGCGGGCCCAGTAACGTCTCCATTGGAGACTTTGTTGTTACTGTGTCTGGCATATCGAATACTCTCGGTAGCTTGCCGGGCTCTCCGAGAGGGGCGGAGGAATCGAACTCGGGTCGGCCATGTTGGCCGCATGTAAGGCGAACGCCCTACCCGCTGTGCTATCGCTCCAAATTATATTCAAACACCAATCCCACCACCGTGGTCTTTCCTGCCACCATAAGAGGAAAGTGTGTGAAGATTGATGTATTTTGGGGGTTGGATTGACAGTCCAGCGTGTGGGGAGTTTTCTTTGTATGTGGCCGATCACTGTTTGATCCCCGGCACCCCCTATGGTCCCCTGAGCACCACCAGGAGTAATTCCTGAGTGCAGAGCCAGGAGTGACCCCTGAGCATCACTGGGTGTGACCCAAAGAGCAAAAAAAAAATGTATTTTTTGTATTTTTTGCTGGAGCCATTTAAACCCTTGTATGAGAGATTACAGGCATGTGTATTAAACCCAAACACACGTGTGCTACTCTTGGTACATCAGTGGGCTAGCGTGTAAGAGGCTGTGTGGCAGCATTTGCGGCCACTTGCTCCAGGACTCTCTATAAGCTTGATCTCGTGGTCTCTGGATCTCGGCTGCTGATGAGATTACCTGGCACCAGAGGCAGTTTGTGGGTGTGGCTGCCGAGCTACTGGAGAACTGGGGAGCTGGGGGGAGGGGGCCCAGTCCCGATCTGAGTGAGCTTGGGGATCTCAGTCACGGGTCCCGCACACCTGGGTTTTTCTGCAGGTTCCCGCAAAGGTGAGGCTCATCCAAGCCTGTGTGGAGAGCGGCCTTGAGCTGCGCAGTTGGGTTCTGGAGGTTTTCGGCTGCCGGGGTTCTGCTGGGGCGGGGACAGAAAGTCAACCCCCTTCACGTTGCCCGGGTGAAGACAGCCTGGCGCGGGGTCAGGATGTTCTGTGAGCCACGTGACCTTTATCAGAGATCACTGCCCAGCCAGGAAATGTCACCTTCACCTTGAACGAGAGTGGCAGAAACTGGGGCCGAGCACGGGACCGTGGGAGGGCGCTTGCCTTGCACGCAGCTCACCAGGGTTCGATCCCTGGCACCCATTGGGTCCCCTGAGCTCTACCAGGAATGATCTCTGGGCACAGAGGCAGGAGTCAGCCCTGAGCACTGCCAGGGAGTGATTCATTCAAAAACCAGGAAAAGAGGAGGAGGAAGTGGAGAAGGAGGGGGAGGAGAAGGAGGAAGGGAAGGAGAGAAGTTGTTTAATAAACACAAAAGGAGTGCTAGTAAGGGCCAGTAATCAGTCAAACCAGGCCTTGAAGAAAGACTCGTGGAAAACAGCCAAGCCAGACCTTTTCAGGTACTGAGCTTAATTGCGGAAATTGGAACTAAATGGTTGAGTTCAACAGATCATTCAGAGCTAAAGGGAAAATATTTTTTTTTCTCTTTTGGGTCACACCTGGCGATGCTCAGGGGTTACTCCTGGCTCTGCACTCAGGAGTTACTCCTGGCGGTGCTCAGGGGACCATATGGGATGCTGGGAATTGAACCCGGGTCAGGCGTGTGCAAGGCAAGCGCCCTACCCATTTTCCAGCCCCTAAAAGGAAAATTATTGAAGGGAGAGAGGCAATATAATTATTCAGGGTTTAGCCCAGGGACACAAGAAATATATTATCTATATAATAATATATAATATATTAATAATATATTATATATAAGTATATAATAATATATAACATGTCACTGTCATTGTCCTCCCGTTGTTCATTGATTTGCTCGAGCGGGTCCAGTAACGTCTCCACTGCAGACTTTGTTGTTACTGTGTTTGGCATATCGAATACGTCACAGGGAGCTTGCCAGGCTTTGCCGTGCGGGCGAGATACTCTCGGTAGCTTGCCAGGCTCTCCAAGAGGGGCGGAGGAATCAAACCTGGGTCGTCAGGTCAACTGCATGCAAGGCAAATGCCTTACCCACTGTGCTATCGCTCCACATAGTATAATTCATAATTTTAAAATTTTAGAGACATACCAAATAATAGAGATACACTCAAATATCATCAATTTAATTGGAGTACTAGGGGAAAAAAATGACAAAAGAGGGAGAGAAAAAGTCCTAATTGGCCAGAAAGTTAGTTCAGGGTTAAGGTGTGCGTCCTGCGTGCGGCCGACCCCAGCTCTGTGCCCAGGACCACATGTCCCCTGAGCCTTGCTGGGGCCTAGATACACGGTGGGAATACCCAGCATCTCATCCCGGGCCCTGCGTGAAACCACACACCCACTTGTCTGAGCTCTACTTGAGAGGCACCGCCCCTCCCTCATTATTTTAATTGGGAAGAGGAAGTGGTTAAGAACACTGATGACCCAGAATTTTCAAAGACTCAAGGAAGGATTTGATTTCACAAATACTTGTTCAGTCTGTGCCGAGCAGGATAAGCCGGTGTCCTCACCCAGGGGCCTCCTGTTGAAATAGTTGGACGCAAAGGCACAGTCCTTCAGACAGCAGGAAGAGATCAATCTGCTTCTGGAAGTTGACGTCCCAACAGCTATAATGGAAGTTCTGTGTCAGGGGAGTAATCATGTCAGAAATAATCATTTCAGGGGCTGGAGCGATAGCACAGCAGGGAGGGCGTTTGCCTTGCACGCAGCTGACCGGGGTTCGATCCCCAGCATCCCATATGGTCCCCTGAGCACTGCCAGGGGTAATTCCTGAGTGCAGAGCCAGATCACAAGCCCTGAGCATCATTGGATGTGACCCCCCCCCCAAAAAAAAGAAATAATCATTTCAGAGAGGGCAGGGAAGGTTTGGGGGGAGCCTTTGGAAGGGTGACTCATAGAAGCTTTTGATCTTTTGCACGGAGTCGCCTGTGGTTTAAACGCCACATGTGGGACCAGATTCAGTCCAGCGGGTTGGGTGTTTGCCTTGCACGCAGCCGACAAGGGTTCAATCCCCAGCATCCCGTATGGTCCCCTGAGCACCGGCAGGAGTAATTCCTGAGTGCAGAGTCAGGAGTAACCCCTGAGCATCTCTGGGTGTGACCCAAATAGCAAGACGAAAACAAAAACAAAAAAAAAACCCTAAAAACAAACAAACAAATTTAAAACCAGCCACATGCATAACAAGTGGCCTCCTGGCCGCAGCAGCCGCTCCAGTTGGCCCCTGTGTCCCGCAGGAATCGACAGCTGGATCGACCTGAGCCGCGTGGACCCCGACGCCGAGGTGCAGGGCGAGGTCTGCCTGTCCGTGCAGCTGCGGGAGGATGGGCGTGGCCGCTGTCTGCGCTGTCACGTGCTGCAGGCCAGGTAAGGTGGTGGACTGTGTCCTCCCAGCCTGCCCACTTCCCGGGCGCTTCCTGCTCCACAGCCAGGAGCCCTTCCAGATACGCAGTCCAGACCCCCTGGGGTTTGAATTCCTGGAGGTAAAGCACTGCCACCGAAGCTTGCTGCATCCCCAGGGACCCGCCTCAGAGCCCAGACGCCCGGCAGCAAGGGACGGCTGGGCGCGGAGGCGTCTGTGTCAGACTGTCTTGCTGGCTCAAGCAGCTCCGGGTGACAGACGGCTTCAGGCATGGCTGCCTCAAGGTGCTCAGTGCTCCCAGGCATCCTTAGAGACAGGGTCCTGGGCTGTTCTTTGTGTCTGCCTCTATCCCGCGTGGGGGCAGACAACAGGCATTTTCCCAGCCTGGCAGCTCTGAGTGTTTCTTTTTTTTTTCTTTTTGGGTCACACCCGGCGATGCACAGGGGTTCCTCCTGGCTCTGCACTAAGGAATTACTCCTGGCGGTGCTCGGGGGACCCTATGGGATGCTGGGAATCGAACCTGGGTTGGCCATGTGCAAAGCAGACGCCCTCCCCACTGTGCTATCGCTCCAGCCCCTCTGAGTGTCTGGACGTGTTCCCGGGGCATGTGCCCATCTCAGCCCCTTTCCCTGACTCATGGGTCAGACCTGATCACGAGCCCATCCCCAGCACAGGCTCAGACCTTGAGGACCCCTGAGGACCCCTGAGGACCCCTGAGGACCCCTGAGGACTCAGGTGCCCCAGCGCCCAGAATGCCAGCGCCCCTCACGCCTTGCCCACTGCCCTCGGCCCCCCTTCCTCATTCTGCTCCCTGAAACACACCTTCCCTCTGCCCCTCGGGTCTCCCATCTGTATCTCTCCTCTTGTGGGGGCGTGTGCATTGCACCTCTCGCCTTCAGCCCCCAACCCCCACCACCATTCCGGCTGCTCTGGGCCATCTGGATCTTCCAGCGGTGTGACTTTAGATCCTGTCTTGCCCTCTCTGTTCCTCTCCGACCTCTCCCAGGGTTTCTGCCCCTGGTGTCCAGATGCAGGGGACCAGGGAGTGGGGCACTGGCGGTGGCAGTGATCGGCGAGGGGCGGGGCTCGCTCACCTGCCTGGTTGCCATGGCTCCCCGCACCCGCTTGTGAGCAGGAGAGGAACTAAGTGCTGTCGCTTAGCAACCAGGCTGGCTCCTAGGAAACCGCCAGGGCTGCCTGCCAGCGAGGCAGGAGCGGAGCCGCCCTGGGGGTGTGGCCTGACTGGGGGGTGCTGACTGAGACTTTGGGGTTGTCACGGCAACCGGAGGCCTCGGAGGGTCCGGGCCTCTGCCTTCCCCTGCCAGCGTGAGCCCGTGATGGAGTGAAGCCACTTCTCACACACCCGCCCCTCCCCCGTGCGGGCGGGACAGCTGCAGCTGCTCCCATTTTCCAGATGTGGAGACTGAGGCTGGAGCACCACTCTGGCCCTTCTCTCCGCCAGCCAGGCCCTTGCCCTCGGCCCTGCGCTTCCTCTTGGGGTGCCCTTCTCTGCGCCTGACCCTTGCCTGGGGGCTGGGCAGCTGGGCCTGGGGAGGGCGCCCCTTGCCGGCCCCTCCATGTTGGGGCTCGGGAGCCTCAGAGTAGCCCAGCCCGAGTCCCGCCTCCCCAGTCCTGCCTGAGGGCTGGAGCGTAGGACAGCGGGAGGGCGTCTGCTTGGCCGGGTTCGAATCCCGGCGCTCCGAGGTTCCTCCTGAGTCTAATCCGGAGGGGCTCCTGAGCACCACCGGGACAAAAACCCACGTCCTGCGCACGTGGCCTGTCCCTCATGCCTGTCCCGGTCTGTCCCCAGGGACCTGGCGCCCCGGGACATCTCTGGCACCTCTGACCCTTTCGCGCGTGTGTTCTGGGGCAACCAGAGCCTGGAGACTGCGGTGAGTTTGCCACCGAGGGGGACCCGGGGCGGGGGAGGGGGCGCCCCCGGGGAGGCTTGGGGAGCACTCCCATGCGCCCCTCTCCCTCTGCCCCAGACCATCAAGAAGACCCGCTTCCCGCACTGGGATCAAGTGCTGGAGCTCCGGGAGCCCCCGGGGCCGCCCGCCCCGCTGAGGGTGGAACTCTGGGACTGGGACATGGTGGGCAAGAACGACTTCCTGGGCATGGTGAGTGCTCCCCACACCCCTCCCCCACACTCCTCCAGGCGCCCACGAGGGGACAGAGGCTTTTGGTAAGCCACACTGACCCGGGTGAGTGCTCCTGCTCCCCTGCTGCCCTCACGCTCACTCTTGCCCTGTGGCGCTGCGCCCATTCCACAGACTGGCAGGTAGAGGCCAGGGACCGGAAGTGGCTCTTCCGGGCCAGGCCTTGAGTCTGGAAGCTAAGCCCAGCGAGCGTCCACTCCTGCCCCTTTGCTCGCGGCGGCACTGGCTGCACAGACTGGCCACTCTCCCCAGGGGAAGGCTTGGACCAGGTCAGAGGGACGCTGGGCATGTCAGCAGGGGCCCTGGCTCCGGGGAACAGTCCGGAAGGTTCTCCAGGCAGAGGGGTCACGGGGCCCAAGCAGTTCCACTCCTTGGAAGGTGCTGGAGAGAAACAGCCAATGTGTGTCCACGGGGGCTGGAGCGAGAACACAGCGTGGAGGGCGCTTGCCTTGCACGTGGCCAGCCGGGGTTCAATCCCGGCATCCCCTGCGGGCCCCTGAGCATCGCTGGGTGTGGCCCCCAAAACGAGCAAACACAAACCTGTGTGCATGCGACGGCCCGCGTGTGGAAGCTCCCGGCAGCCCCCTTCGCGGTCACCGGCCGGGAAGCCGCCCCCGGACGGCACTGGCCCATCCTGGGCTGTCCATGCCGCGGAGGACCCGGCCCACGGAGCACGGCCCTGAGCCTGGGCCGCTCAGGGAAAGACACGAGTCCGAGAGTCCAGATGGGCCGTGATTTCACAGCGCAGCACAGCGCACGCGGTCAGCGGAAAGAGGGCGAGCAGTTTCCAGGCCGGGGGCTGCCCGGGGGCCTTGGGGGCGCGAGGCCGCCCTGTGATGGGTGAGGTGGTCGCTCTGCCTGGCAGACACACCAAGGCCACTGACTTGGGCCGCGAGCCGGACTCGGTCTGATGCCCCCACGCCGCATCTGGTTCCCCACACAGCCAGGAGCGAGCCCCCCCAAATAAGGCAAAACCCCACCAAAATAAGGCAAAACCCCACCAAACAAAACCCACTGAGTGACACACTTTGAATGGGTGGATTGGTGTGGTGTGGACGCTCAGTTCAGAGCCCCTGGCCGTGCCGGTAAACCTTTGGATACATGTGATCTCTGCCCCAAAGTGGAGCCCAAATACACCCCCTCCCCTGTCTCCAACCGCTGTGTGATCTCAGGCAAGTCACTCCACCTCTCTGAGCCTCAGTTTCCTCACTGCCATGTCCCCCGGAGGCCTGAAGTTCCCTGCCCGGACCTAGTGACCTGGGCCTCAGCATTGCTGTCCGTGGTGGGTAGGGGGCTGCCAGGTGGCTGCGGCCGCCCTCCCTGGCCGGGCTCAGCTGCCGTCTGTCCCGCAGGTGGAGTTCACCCCACAGGTCCTGCACCGAGACCCTCCCCACGGCTGGTTCCGCCTCCTGCCCCTCCCCAGAGCTGACCAGGATGTCCGGTAAGGGGCGGCGGAACCATGCTGGGCTCCAGCTCTAGCGTGCTCAGAGCATGGCGTCCTTCCACACCTGCTCACACCTGCCCACACCTGCCTTTACCTGTTCTTACCTGCCCACACCTGCCCACACCTGCCTATACCCGTTCTTACCTATCCACACCTGCCCACACCTTCCTGTAGTGTCCATACCTGTCCATACCTGCCCACACCTGTCCTCACCTGCCCACATCTGCCCACACCTGCCTATACCTGTTCATACCTGCCCACACCTGCCCACACCTGCCCACACCTGCCTATACCCGTTCTTACCTATCCACACCTGCCCACACCTTCCTGTAGTGTCCATACCTGTCCATACCTGCCCACACCTGTCCTCACCTGCCCACATCTGCCCACACCTGCCTATACCTGTTCATACCTGCCCACACCTGCCTATAGTGTTCATATCTGCCCAGACCTGTCCATACCAGCCCAAACCTGCTTATATGGTTCATACCTGCCTACACCTGTCCTCACCTGTCCACACCTGCCCATACCTGCCTTTACATGTTCATGCCTGCCCAGCCCATACTTGTCTACCCCTACCCTACCCACACCTGCCTATACGTGTTCGTACCTGCCCACACCTGTGCGCACCTGTCCGCATCTGCTTACACCTGTCTACACCTGTCTACACCTACCCGCCCCTGTTCATGCCTGCCTGCACCAGTTCGCACCTGCCTCCACCTGCCCACGCCGCTCTTTCCTGACACATCTGTTCACAATAGCCACGTCCCTGCACTGTCAGCCTGTCCACCTGCCTGCCCACACCTGCCCACGCTGCCCTGTCGCCTACGCATTTGTTCACACGAGCCGCGTCTGTGCACACTCTCGGCCCGTCCACTCCCGTCTGTCCACTCCTGCCATCCGCCCGGCGCTGTCCCGGCCTCTGACCGGGGCTCTGCCCGCAGGGGGAGCCTAGGCGCCCTGCGGCTGAAGTTGCGCCTGTCGGAGGACCGAGTCCTGCCCTCCCAGCACTATCAGCCGCTGGCCCAGCTGCTCACCGAGTCGGTGCTGCGTCCCGCAGAGGTGGGTGCGCCCGGGGGCTGGAGCGTGGCCGCGCCCCCAGAGGCCCGTCTGGGCTCTCCTGCCCGGGTGTCGGGCCCCAGCCCCGTGTGTCCTTCCCTGCCCAGGAGGACGTGGCCAGCCCCCTGGCTGTGCTGGAGGAGGTGACGTCGGGGGACTGCCGCCAGGACCTCGCCACCAAGCTGGTGAAGCTCTTCCTGGGCCAGGGCCTGGCCGTGCCCTTCCTGGACTACCTCACCCGGCGGGAGGTCGCCCGCACCAGTGCGTCACCCACTCGGCCCCTCTGACGGGCCCCGGGGGAGGACGGTGGGCCTCAGCAGAGAGCAGGGGCTCGTGTGTGTGTGTGTGTGTGTGTGTGTGTGTGTGTGTGTGTGTGTGTCCCCCTCACCCGCCTAAGCGTGCAGTCCTGCTTCAGGCCGTGGCTTTGCTGCTGTGAGCTGTGTGGTCTCAGGCAGCTCGCTTAACCTCTCTGGGCCGGTGGACTGTGGATTGGGGAATTCCCAAGGCTGGAGTCGTGCCGCTCCGCCCTGGGTGAGGGGGACCTGGGTCCCTGCTCCCAGCAGATGCTCCCCTCTGTCCTCCCAGCCGACCCCAACACCCTCTTCCGCTCCAACTCCCTGGCCTCCAAGTCAATGGAGCAGTTCATGAAGGTGAGTGGATGGCGGCGGGGGCAGCGGGGAGGGTACTGGGGCGCTGGCGCCGGCCCCTGCCCTGCCTGACGCCCAGCCCGCCCCCCCCCCCCCCCAGCTCGTGGGCATGCCCTACCTGCACGAGGTCCTGAAGCCCACGGTCACCCGCGTCTTCGACGAGAAGCGCTACATGGAGCTGGACCCCAGCAAGATGGACCTGGGCCGCACGCGGTCAGTCAGCACGGGGTCCCTCCCTGGCCTGGGGTGGCCGTCTCTCCTGCAGGGCCCAGCACTGGGCTTTCAAGGTCCAAACCCAGCTCTGCCACTATGGGGGGCCCTTAGGCCCCCCGGAGCTGTGATGGACAGAGCTGGGAGAAGCACCATCCCCCTTCCTGGGGCTGCCGCCCACCAGGGAGCCCTCCTGTCGGTTGCTAGGCAACCATCAGTCTCCTGAGTGGGGTGGGAGGGCTGTCCCCACCCCCTTGCACCAGGCCCCTGTGTCTTTGTGGAGGCTGGGGCTTGATCGGGGGAGTCCTTCTGGGACTCGGACCCAACCCTGGTGAGGATGGAGCCCGTGTGAATGCCCTCGAGGGGCAGGGAGGAGGCCTGCACGCGCCCTGTCACATGGGCACCTGTTCTGAGAGGGGACTGGCCGCAGGGAGCGAAAGGACCCAAGTCCCCTCTTTTGGTCTGGACTAAAGTCACTGTAGGGGGTGGGCAGGGGTGAGGCTGGTGTGGTCACTGGAAGGTGGGGCTGGAAGGCAGGTGTTGAGGGCAGCACATGCAAAGGCCCTGAGGTCGGGGGTGTGACAGCCCTGCAGGAATGGCTGCGGGGGTGCGGCCTAGTGGGGACAGGAGGGTCGGGACTCTGACTCCCACCTGTTCCCTCGACCCCCAGGAGAATTTCCTTCAAGGGCGCCCCCTCGGAGGACCAAGTGCGCGAGGCCAGCCTGGGGCTGCTCAAGGGCTACCTGGGCCCCCTCCTGGATGCCATCGTGGGCTCTGTGGAGCGCTGCCCGCCCACCATGCGCCTCGTCTTCAAGCGCCTGCAGCAGCGGGTGGAGGCACGCTTCCCCCAGGCAGAGCACCAGGTGGGCTGGGTGCTCCTCACGGGGGTGGGGGGTGGGCAGGGCAACTGAGGCCGGGGAGGGGTTGGCAAGGCGACATGTCGCGCAGAGCAGGCAGAGCTGTGCCAGGACCGGCTGCCCACGCTGGACTGTGCAGTGTCCTGGCAGGCCGGGGTCAGCTAGCCCCCTCCCCCACCCACCCCCGCTCACATCCAGGGCCCAAGGGCGGTGGTCATGACGGTGACACAGAAAACGCTGCTGCTGCCGCTGCCGGGTAAACCCGCTCACAGCCCTGCATGCCCCTGACCTGCTTCAGGGGCCTCAGCGGGCACGCACCTGCATCCTTATCTGACTCTTGGCGTTGGGGCCACACCTGGCTTCCGCCTGTCTCTGCACTCAGGAATCAATAGCAAGCTTGGAGGACTGTATGGGGTGCCGCGGATCGAACCCGGGTCACTCGCATGCAAAGCAAACTCCCGACCAGCTGTACTATCACTCCCGTCCTTATTTGATTATTATTATATTATTATTATTATTATTATTATTCACCGTCACCGTCCTCCCGTTGTTCATTGATTTGCTCTAGTCGGCCCAGTAACATCTCCATCATGACAATTGTTACTGTGTCTGGCATATCGAATACGTCACGGGGAGCTTGCCAGGCTCTGCCGTGCGGGTGAGATACTCTCGGTAGCTTGCTGGGCTCTCCGAGAGGGGCGGAGGAATCGAACTCGGGTCGGCCATGTTGGCCGCTTGTAAGGCAAATGCCTACCCACTGTGCTATCGCTCCAGCCCATTTTCATTTCATTTCATTTCATCATCCTGTTAATCGTCGATTGCCTCGAGCAGGCCCCAGTAATGTCTCTTTCATCCTAACCCTGAGATTATATTCAAGGCTCTTTAGGAGAATGAGACCCATCATTGTTACTGGTATTTGGCATATTGGGTACTCCACGGGGAGTTTGCCAGACTCTGCCCTGTGGGCAGGCTACATTCGATAGCCTGCAAGTTTGTCCAAAGTAGGAATGAGATAATAAGATGTCGCGGCCGCGCGGTTCCGGGATCTGGATTTTATAGTCTCTGAGTCTTGGCCGCTGATGGGATTACACGGCGCCAGGGGGCCAACCCATTATTATTATTATTATTATTATTTAACATTTGGCTTTTTGGATCACACCCAGCGATGCTCAGGGGTTACGCCTGGCTCTGCACTCAGGAATCACTCCTGGCGGTGCTCGGGGGACCCTATGGGATGCTGGGGATCGAACCTGGGTTAGCCGCGTGCAAGGCAAATGATATCCTGATACCCGCTGTGATATCGCTCCAGCTCCTATTTTATTTTAAATCTGAGGATTTGACTTCATCTCACAGTTGGATCTCCCTAACAGCACTTGGGGGCCGCGAGGTGCCGGGGAAGAGCTCAGGCCAGGCTTGCCAGATCTTCGGACATTTTCTTTTTGGTTTTTGGGCCACACCTGGTGGAATTCAGATGCTACTCCGAGCTTGGTGCTCTGGGGTCAATTCTGGCCGTGCTCAGGGGACCATGCAGTGTCAGGGATCAGGGCCTGGCACCCCCAACCCCGAGCCATCTCCAGAGACACGCCTGGCAGTGCTTAGAAGTGACATCTGGCAGTGCTCAGGGGAACCTCGATGATGCTAGGATTTGAACCAGGGCTGGTGGAATGCGGGGCGGGCATTTGCCCCCTGTCCTCTCTCCAGCCCCCCCAAATTTTGGTCAAGCCAATATTCGGATTCCACTGAGAGTTGCCACTAAGAACGTGTGGGCACAAATTTACCCCCACCGGGGTTGGAGCGATAGCACAGCGGGTAGGGCGTTTGCCTTGCACGCAGCCGACCCGGGTTCGATTCCCAGCTTCCCATATGGTCCCCCGAGCACGGCCAGGAGTAATTCCTGAGTGCATGAGCCAGGAGTATCCCCTGTGCATCGCCGGGTGTGACCCAAAAAGCAAAAAAAAAAAAAAAAACCCACAAATTTACCCCCCTCTCCCCCCTCCCTCCATGCTTTAGGCCGATCCGCCCATCCATTCTTCCCCTGGGGAGGCTGGGCACACGCCCTGCCCCCAGGTGGCTGTCACACCCGCAGGGAGGTGACATTGAGCCAGGCTCCCTCCTGCAAACCCCGTGTAGGAGAGGCCTGGGGCTGACAGGCTCCCGCTTTAGGCCTCCCCTCTCCCCACTTCCTCTCTGCGGATGGGGGAAACTGAGGCCCAGAGAGCTGTGACTCAGGGCATCTCCATCCCGGCCGGGTGGGGGGGGTCCTCTCCCCCCACCCTCCTCCTCCCATTCCCCAAGGAGGGCTGAGCCCCGAGCCGCCAAACTGGGGCACGGCGGCTCGACTCTGCCAGGCTCGCGCCCTTCTGGCTGCAGAAGTGCTAAGTGGGGCACAGCTGGGGTGGTGAGGCGCGGTGGGGGAGGGGTTGGGCCAGCTCCCCAGCAGCCCAGCCTGTGGGGTGGGCAAGAGCCGGTGGCAGCCACCCAAGGGGCCCGGTACACAGGACTCAGGTAGGAGACAGACTTTCTGGCTCTGGAGGGCGGGCGGGGTGGGGGCCCCTTTCTCTGCCTCTCTGACACCTGCCCTTCCCCCAGGACGGGGGCAGCTGTGAGCTGTGAGTGAGGGGAGCAGGTAAAATCACCCTGTGACACGGTGCTGGGTGGCCGTGGGGCGTGGGACCCTCCTTCCGGGTGGGGGAGGGCAGGAAAGGGGTCCGGGCGGGGCCCAGGAAGTAGGGGCGCCCAGGGGAGGCATTGTGTGCGGTGTGAAGATAACTCTGAATAAACACGGCACATTCCGGCTAAATATAGCGGCGCCTGTGAAAGGTGGGTGGGAGTGGCTGGCTGCACCCCTCCTCGGCTCCCCCTCCTGGAGCCCCGGCTGCTGCGGGGGGCCGGCTGGGGCTCCCCAAGACCGACGCACACCTGGGGGTCTGGGGAGTGGAGCTGGGGCCGGTCAGCTGCTCACCGAACTGGGCTGAGGGGCCGGAACCATAGCACAGTGGGGAGGGTGTTTGCCTGGCATGCAGCCAGACCCGGGTTCGATCCCTGGCATCCCTTATGGTCCCCTGAGCAGCACCAGGAGGGATTCCTGAGCTCAGGGCCGGGAGTCAGCCCTGAGCATCGCTGGGCGTGGCCCAACAAGCAAAGCAAAAAAACTGGGGGGAGCAGGTCACGGGGTGCGGGGGGTGGGGTCAGTGTAGCGTGTGTGGGCGGACAGAGCTCAGGTCCCGTCTGTGGTCACAGCCGGCCTGACACTGGCAGCTGTGCGGCCTGGGCAGAGTGACTCTCCCTCTCTGGGCTCCCGTGGGCCCCGCTGTGAAACGGGGCCGGCACCTCCCTGAGGGGGGCTGTGCTGTGGATGTGGGTCTGGAGCCCGCGCCAGCTTCTGCTGTGGCCTTGGGCGAGTCACTCAGCCCCTCTGAGCATGCGCGTCCCACGGCGCCTCCTGCGGGGGGTGCCCTGCGCCCAGTGCCCGGTGCCCTCCGAGGATGCGCTTTGGCAGCTGCTCCCTTTTCCAGATGGGGAAACTGAGGGCCTGCACAGACCCTGTCTATCTCCTGGGTATCCAGATATGTTCCCGTGCCCCATCTTCCCCCGGCACTTCCCCTGGCACTGCCACTCTGTCGTCCTCGCTGACTCGGTTTCCCCAGCTGGGAAAACTTGGCCGTGCCTCTTGCAGGATGTGAAGTACCTGGCCGTCAGTGGCTTCCTCTTCCTGCGCTTCTTCGCACCCGCCATCCTCACCCCGAAGCTCTTTGACCTGCGGGAGCAGCACGCGGACCCCCAGACCAGCCGCTCGCTGCTGCTGCTGGCCAAGGTGAGGGTCAGGGCCCCTGCTGGGCGGAGCAGTGTGTGTACATGTGTGTGCCACAGAGAGTGTACCACAGAGTGTGTGCCATGGAGAGGATACCACAGAGAGTGTGCTACAAAGTGTGTGCCAGAGTGCGTGCCACTGAGAGTGTACCACAGAATGTGCGCCATAGAGTGTGTGCCACGGAGTGTGTGCCACAGAGTGTACCACAGTGTGTGCCACAGAATGTATACCACAGAGAATGTGCACCAGAGAATATGCCACAGAGAGTGTATACCAAAGAGTGTGTGCCGTAGAGTAAGTGTGCCAGAGGGTGTGCACCACAGAGTGTGTACCACAGAGAGTGTGTCACAGAGATTGTGTGCCGCATAGTGTATATGCCACAAAATGTGTGTGCCACAGAGCGTGTGCCATAGAAAGTTCCACAGAGTATGTACCACAGAGAGTGCGTGTGTGTGACCTTCTGTTTGGAGTGTGGACACTCGCTGCCTCTTCCCGAGAGGACGTTCAGTCCTTAGCAGAGGAGTGTGCGATGGCAGCGGGCGGCTGGTCTGCAGCGTGGCCGCGTGGGGACCCGGTGGATTTCCGAGTGTGTGTGACAGGGTCACCCAGGCGGGCCTGGACCTGGAGGAAGCAGAGTGGGACCCGGGGGGAGGCCCGAAGCAGGCGCCGCTGTAGACCCCTGGGGCTGCGCTGGGGTCCCTTCCGGGGCCCACGGAAGCCACCCCGCGCCTGCGCCCCGAACCCGCCACCTCCTTCTCGTCTGCCCCAGGCCACGCAGAGCATCGGCAACCTGGGCCAGCAGCTGGGCCAGGGCAAGGAGCTGTGGCTCGCGCCCCTGCACCCGTTCCTGCTGCAGAGTATCTCGCGGGTGAGGGACTTCCTGGACCAGCTGGTGGACGTGGATGGGGAGCAGGGTGAGTCCCCCGGGCCCCGCCACTCCCAGCCTGTCACGCCCCTAGGAGCCCGCCCTCCTCCATCACTCAGACGTGGGTGGGGTCCTGCGAGGCCTCTGTGAATGGCGGGGGGACCGGGACCGAGCATAGGGAGTGTCACTGCCTGGCCTCAGTGAGGCCCTGGGTGCGGACACAAGGCAGACACTGAGGTGTTGGGACAGCAACGCCGAGGACTGGAGAAACACTCTTCTCTGTGGGCGACACGCTAGAGGGACCAGCACACACTGGTGTGTGGGGGTGCTGGCCGCGATCCAGGAATGGCCAGAGCCAGTCGTGAGGGAAAACTGGCCCAGGCCGGAATCAGTGTGTGCAAAGGTCCTGGGGTGCACGAGGGGAGCACAAAGCCTTAGGCTTCGACTTGGCATTATGGGTGGAGCTATGGGATGGGTTGGTGTGGAGGAGGTGGGGTGTCCAGATCACAAAGGGGCGCAGGTCAGGAGGGAATTGGGACAAACCAAGTCACAGAAAAGCTGCCTGCCCAGACGCAGAGCCCCAGAGGTACTGAGGAGTTTGTGTCTGGGGCCCGGGACAGGCTAGGCCGGAGCACTGACTCACTGGGTGGAGTCCCTCCTGCTGACGGCCGCCCACGCTGCCTGCCCCTCCTCGAGAACCCAGGGAGCATAAAGTTCACTCTTCTATGCAGCCCTCCAGGATTGCAACCAGACAAGAGGGTCTGGATTTGTCCTGGTCTTTTGCACGGAGGGGAGTGGAGACGCCCCTGTGGGCCCCTTCCTGGGCATCTGCCGAGAGAGTTCACTGTCTCCCCTCTGCCCTCCCCAGAAGCTGGGGGCGCCGCCCGGGCCCTCGTGCCGCCCTCTGTGACCGTCCGGGAAGGTTACCTGCTCAAGCGCAAGGAGGAGCCGGCCGGCCTGGCCACCCGCTTCGCCTTCCAGAAGCGCTATTTCTGGCTCAGTGGGGAGACCCTGTCCTATTCCAAGAGTCCTGAGTGCCAGGTGGGTGCCCGCCGCAGTGGAGAAGCTTCCAGGGGTGGTCCCTCATCCGGAAACCACCTTGCATGAGGGGAAACTGAGGCCCAGCAGGGGGCAAGTCCCAACAGCTTGGGAGCAAGTGCCGAACCCAGGCCCAGGTTCTCATGGGCCAGGCCTCTGGAGTCGCCATCAAGTGGCCATCATTTGTCCCAGTCTGGATGCCCCCTCCCAGACGTGGACACATACAGCGCAAAGCTTAATACCCCTCTGATGCCCACAGAGTGTCCGTCCCCTGGCACAAAACAGGGAAGTGGCCCAGAGGGTGGGACCCCACATCCTGCGGGCAGGGGCCTCGGTCCATCCGGAGAGCCGCCTGGCCCACTCATCTCCCCTGAGCAGAGCACTGAGCTCTGGGCACCGAGGACAGTGGTGGTGAGACAGACCCTTGTCCTCCCGCCGCTAGCACTGGTGTGCGTGTGGCAGGTGTCCACATCCGGGACCGCCTGTCTCTGCGGCCACACCCACCCCTGATGGCCCCGGACAGGGCCCACCCTGGTTTTACAGCGCAGCTTCCTGCCTTCCGGTGCTGCTGGTGGAGTGACTGGGGCCTCAGTTTGCCGACCTGCACATGGGGAGGAATGATTGATGGAGGCTCAGAAATTCTCTGTGACTGGGGGCTGGAGAGGGAGCACAGCGGGTAGGGCATTTGCCTTGCACGCGGCCCAACCTAGGTTCGATTCCCAGCATCCCACAGGGTCCCCTGAGCACCTCCAGGAGTAATTCCTGAGTGCAGATCCAGGAGTCAGCCCTGAGCAAAGTCGGGTGTGACCCAAAAGGCAAAAAAAAGAAAAGAAGTTCTCTGTGACTGTATCTGTTTGCTTTTGGGGACCAGAGGTGCCCAGGGCTGATTCCTGGCTCTGGGCTCAGGTATCACTCCTGGCGGTGCTCGGTGTGGGGGGAGGGACCCGTGGGGCGCGGGGGATGGAACATGGGTCTCTGGGTGCAAGGCCAGCGCCCTCCCCTCTGGCCATCCCCTCTGGTCATCACCATATTCGGTGACTCGGAGAAGCGGTCACCGTCTCCCAGAGACAGGCAGGGCGGGGGGGGGTCGCGGCTGGCCCCCACCTCGCCCACCGGCCCGTCCTCCCCCCAGACGCGCGCGTCCATCGCCGTGCCGGACATCCGCGCCGTGGAGCGCGTGGACGAGGGCGCCTTCCAGCTGCCGCACGTGATGCAGGTGGTGACTCGGCGCGGCGCGGGCGCGCTGCACACCGTCTACCTGCAGTGCAAGGTGCGCGGGACCGCGGGGGGCGCGGGGGTCTCCGGCTCCGCGGCCGCTCACCGCCGCCCTCCCGCTCGCCCCGCAGAACGTGAACGACCTCAACCACTGGCTGTCGGCCCTGCGCAAGGCCAGCGCCCCGAACCCCGACAAGCTGGCCTCCTGCCACCCGGGCGCTTTCCGGGGCGCGCGCTGGACCTGCTGCCTCCGGGCCGAGCGCTCAGGTGAGGGCGCGCCCCCCGCCTGTCAATCAGCGCCGCCCCACCTCTGCCCGGCGGGCTGGGCCACTTTGGGCAGGTGGCCTAACCTCTCTGGGTCCCTTGGATTGCGAGGAGGGGTTGATGCCGGTGGACGGGAGTTGGGAGATTTAAATGGGTGGGTCCGGAAAGGGCCGAGGTCGCTGCCTCGCCCGGTGGGCTGCTGAAGTCCAAGCCTGTATCATAATGATTATTGGTATTGGGGATTGAACTCGGCCCCACACATGCAAGCCTCAGCTCTGGCCCTATTCTTATCGTTGGTTGTTGTTGAGCACCTACTATGGGCCGGGAGGCTTCTGGCACCCACCAGACGTTAGAGCACTCTCAGAGCAGATGAGTGAAAAAAGGGCGATGGTAATCCAGGTACCAGATGAGGCTTTGGAGACCCCAGAGGATGCCTTTGACCCGGCCTCAGGGGGAGTGCGAGGAGGGCTTCCTGGAGGAGGTGGGGCTTGAAAGTGACTCCAGGAGAGTGAGGGTTAAGGGATGGGGCAGGGATGGGCTAGGCAGAGTGTGTCAGGCTCAGAGGTGAGACGGGGCTCAGGAGAGGGGGCTGGCGGGAAGAACCTTCCGGAGGTGGAGGGACCCCGAAGGATGGCGGTTTGGAGTGAGTTTTTGTGCGTGAGAGGCAGGGCTGGTGGCTGCCGGGCCTTGGGGCTTCTGGAAGGGGGACAGGCGGTCACGGACCCCCCTTGCCCCCAGCTGTTGGCTGCAGCCGCACACACTCGGCTGTCACTCTGGGGGACTGGAGTGACCCCTTGGACCCGGATGCAGAGACGCAGATGGTGTATCGGCAGCTGCTGCTGGGCCGAGACCAGCTCAGGTGGGGGCTGCTGGGAAAGTCACTTCTCTGATCCCCCTTTTCTCATCTGGAAAATGGGGATGGTGGTCAGGTCTTGGGAGCCCTGAGGTGGTGTTTCCTGGGGGCATCCCGAGGGTCCCGTGAGCGGCTACAGTTCATGCTCGTGGTAGACGCTGTCAGTCCGAGTCATGACCTTTATGCTGTGCAGCCTCAGGTGAGTCACTGTATTTCTCTGTGCCTGTGAGCCCCCACTTGACGGAGTTCGCTAATAAGGGTCTGCTTCATTTCTGGGGTGGGGTGTGTGTGTGTGTGTGTGTGTAATTAAACGCCTCGAGGCCTGGGAAGAGCTTAGACGGACCCTCTGCAGTGCTTAGGGAGGAATGGCGAGGGCCAGGCGTTCTTATTCATGCGACTTCCTCCTCCCTCTGGTGCAGGATGAAACTCCTGGAGACCAGTGAGGACGCAGAGCCAGGCAAGGAGTGCGCCGTGGAGGGGTCAGGCTGCCTCTGCCTCGCCTCTTCCCTCCCCTCCCCACACCTGCCAGCCCCCCTCTCTCCTCTCCGCCCACCCTTCCCAATTTCCAGCCCAGCGGGTGGGGGAGGGGCTCCAGTGTCCTTGGGGCGTCTCCGTGGCCGGCTCAGCTCCTGTCCCCCTCCCAGGGGCCTGTCCGGCTGCCCTGGACCTGCAGAGAGAGGCAGCCGCCCGCCTGCTGGACGTGCTCGCCGACCTGGACCAAGCCCACGAGGAGTTCGAGCGGCAGGAGCGGGTGAAGGCCGCTCCCAAGCCCTTGGGGTCCTGAGCACTGCGGGCGCTGACTTGGAAGGAAGAGCAGAGGCCCTTCCGCTGGTCCGTGAGTCACCGGGTGGTGCTCCAGAGCACTGTGGAGGCTGTGGCCCCTGGGGCTCTCGGACCCTGTGCTTTCAGCCCCGGCAGGAGGTGCGTCAGCTGGAAGCAGAAGGCCAACCTTGCGCCCACTCTGGATGGAGCCATCCCGGAGCGGATGGACTCAGGAGTCCCCCTCATTCGGCCCCACCTGAGCTTCCTGTCTCTCTCGGTAGTCCTGGACTCACACCAGCAAGGCCGGCCTGGCCTTCGAGCTGCTGGATACAGCAGTGCCTGAATTCCTGGTGTGGCTCTGTTACCCCAGGCACCAAGCAGGCTTAGCCCTCTCTGTTTTCACGTCTGCTAGGCTGTGTCATTGCACCGTCTCTCCTGAGCCCCGGCCGCAAGCTTCTACCAAGATCTGACACCAACAGGAAGAACGGAGGCTGGGAGCCCAGGAGGACGGACTCGAACTCGACTCTTGGATCCCGAGGGCCAGGAGCTCCCCACCCCCGACTCCTTTCTGAGCCTGTTTTACTCTGTATAAAATGAGCAATGATGGATGTTTGGTTTCAAAACTGTTCCTTGGGAACCAGGGATGAAGGGCCCCTGTCCCTCTGATCATCCAGATGCCCCCAGCTCCACTGCATCAGAATTTGGGGGAGAATTTGCTTTTTCCTTGCCTGGGGGCCCCATCTGGCAGTGCTCAGGGGCTACTCCCGACTCTGTGCTCTAGGCTTTTCCCCAGTGACATCCTAGAGGGCCATGTGGTGCCAGAGATCGAACCCAGGATTCAATGTGTGCTTCCGTTTTGGGGCACATCTGGAAGGGATGGAGGTCAGACCGCCTGTTAGGCGCACTCGTTGGTCCCCGGGTCAGCTTTTTCCGGGGGTTTGAGCTACTCATGAATGAGCTCAGAGTTTACTCCTGGTGTGCTCAGGATCGCTCCTGGAGGGGTGTAGGGAACAAGACGGGGTGCTGGGGATGGAACCAGGGTTGGCCGCGTGCAAGGCGATCGCCCTGCCCACTGAACTCTCTCCAGTCCCTTTAACCCATGCGTGTGCAGTAATACTGATTATGGGTCCGGGTGATTTTGTTGATGAACTGTGATCTCTTGTCTAAGAAGGAATACGGGAGGATAAAATTCGGCAGCACTGGAAGGGACTCGAAGGACTCGAATCTAGTGTCAGGTGACTTGGGCTGGGACCCAAAGTCGCCAGCCAGGCCCACCCTGAACAGGGCGGCGCTATCCTGAAGGTGGGCAGCAGGGGGCGCCTGGACCCGCCACATCCTGGAATGATGCAGCGGCTGTTAGGTTCTTGCAGGTTCTGGAACCTCTCCTGCTGGACCTATCACAGCGTCTCCCAGGTCCTCCTAGTTTTCCAGGTCCTCCAAGCGGGTCACTATGCTAGAGCCGCAGTAGGCTCTGCCTCATGGCCAAGCTTGAAAGTCACTTTTTTTTTTTTTTTTTTTGGCTTTTGGGTCACACCCAGCTATGCTCAGGGCTTCCTCCTGGCTCTGCACTCAGGCATCATTCCTGGCGGTGCTGGGGACCCTATGAGATGCCGGGATTCCAGCCCCAATCAGCTGCGTGCAGGGCCCTCCGGAGGATTAGGCGTGAGAGGGCCGGCCTTTGCCTCAGCGCCTCTGCCTGCCCCAGGACCAGAGAATGATGAGGGGCCCGCAGCTCCACCTGCCCGAAGCAGAGAGGGCTGGCTGGCGATCCCTCGGTGTTTTGTTGCCAAGCTAATCCTTCGGTGCAAACTGAAGCCCTCCCCACTCCCCACCCCCTCCCCGCAAACCCCCGACCTCCGCGTCTTGGCGGGTTTAGAAAAAAAAAGGGGGCGAGGAGGAGAAAGGCCGTTTACTCTCCACCCACAGTGGGAATGGTAGGTTCTCCAAAGAGCGGTCGCCGGCGCTGGCCGTGCCTTTAAATCTTGGCCGGTTGCCACGGCGCCAGCCAATCCACAGAGGCGGAGCTGGTGCGTTGCCTGGGCAACGGGCCCCCGGTTGGCCGAGACCGGCAGCCGCCCCGGGAAGAGGCAAAGGGACTCTTCGCTGTCCAGTCTGCTTTTAAACCTGCTGGCCTCGGCCGGGCGTCCCCGGCGGGCTCCTGGGGCCAGGATCCGCGGCGACGTGGGGGAGGGGCGGGCGGGGGGGACACAGCGCGGGGCCTTGATGGGGCAGACGTAAGGCCTGGGATGGGAGGGGGGCGGAGACCCGGGCCCCCAGGGTGCAAGAGACAAGCACAAAAGAAGAGAGTCGGGGTGGGAGGGAACGGGGTCCCTCTCCCTGGTCCACCCCTTTGCAAAGCTGCGGGATGGTCTGGGCACTCGCCCCCCGCGCCCACAGCTGCCCATCAGTGGCTGGAGGCGACTGGGGGGACTGAACTTCACAGTGCCCCCTCCCCAGGGTCCCTCCACAGGTCCCTAAGCTTGACCTGAATCCTGCTGCGAGCAAGCCAAGCCCGTAGAGATGCGACAGCGACAGCGACGCGGGCGCGCACCCGCCGCGGGCATCAAGGGGTCTTTCTGTCGCTCCCCCAGTTGGGGGGTAAGTAGAGGCACGTGGGTGTGCGTGCATGTGTTCAACAGGGCACTGCGCAGAGGGGGGCACCCTCTCTCTCCGCCTTCTCCGGGCCGCGGTCAGAGCCGCTGGCCCTGCTGGCCTCCCGGCAGGCTCCTTCCAGCAAACAGCCTGGGCTCCCGGGCACACCTGGCGCAGGGAGGCGTGTGCTCCGCGGGTCAGGGGCGAAAGAGGAGGGCGGGCGGGCAGCCCCGGGCGCTCAGGCCTTGGCCGCGGCCTCGGACACTCCCTGCGCGGTGAGCTCGGCCAGCACGTTGTCCAGGTAGCTGGCGTCCGGGTAGCCGTGGCCCGTGAGGTTGGAGCCGAACTCGGTCTTGTGGTGGATCTCGTTCCACACGACGGTGTCCGACTCGCCCGTGGTGTTGGACGTGCCGATGGTGAAGATGAGCCGGCGCTCCCAGGCGGTGATGAGCAGCCTCAGCACCTGCGGGGGCGGGGCCAAGATGGGGCGGGGCCAAGATGGGGCGGGGCCAGGCGGGAGGGGAGGGGCCAGGCGGGAGGGGCGGGGCCAAGATGGGGCGGGGCCAGTCGGGAGGGGCGGGGCCAGCCCGTCCCGGTGCTTTTCTAGCGGAACCCCACCCCCACTCCAAGCTTCCCCCTCCTCCCAAAAATCCCCTTCCAAGTCTGTTCCTTTTCTTTCTTTCTTTCTTTCTTTCTTTCTTTCCTTCCTTCCTTCCTTCCTTCCTTCCTTCCTTCCTTCCTTCCTTCCTTCCTTCCTTCCTTCCTTCCTTCCTTCCTTCCTTCCTTTTGCTTTTTGGGCCACACCTGGCAACGCTCAGGGGTTCCTCCTGGCGCTGCACTCAGGAATCACTCCTGATGATGCTCAGAGGACCATAACAGGGGATTTGGAAAATGAACCTAGGTCGGCAGCAGCGCAAGGCAAACGCCCTGCCCGCTGTCCCATCTGCCAGCTTCTTGCGGAGTGATGGGATGGTCACAACTGACAGCCCTTGGCTGTTTTAGGTTCGGATCCCGGGAATCCCTTGGTAAGATTCAAAGACCTGGAGATTTCCCCCCAATATGGGAGCGTCTGGCTTTTTGCTGGAAAAGCAGAAAAGAAAGCCAACTGTCCAGTGTCGTGGTGAGGAGCGTGGCGGTTTGGGCCCCGATTAGCTGTGCGCCCTGGGGCAAGTGGCTGCCCTCGGAGGGCGAGTGTCCCCCTCTGCACCGTGCCACAGAGACCTGGGCTCAGCAGTGCTGATCCGGGTAGGAAGGTGCGCGCTGGGGGCTGGGGGCTGGGGTCCCGCTCCTGCACCCACCTTCCGGCCCTTCTCGTTGTTGGGCAGGTAGCAGTGCCGCGGGAAGCCTCTCGCCGTGAACTTCTTGCCTGGGTTGGGGTGCTCTGGGCCCTGTGGGAAGGAGCAGCAGGGGGCTAGAATCCCGGGAGTGGGGCCTCTGGAGGGCCAGGGGTGGGTGGGTGGGTGGGTGGGGAGAGCCCACCTGGATGCCCGTGGGGATGTCGTAGACGATGCGGATGGTCTGGGTGTCGGCGAAGCCGGGCAGCGAGTGGGGGATGAGGTGGAACGCCATCTTCCCGGGGGGCTGGGTGCCCGTCTTCTCCCCGTAGATGGCCTTGCAGGTGGGGCACTGCAGGCTGCCATCCTGGGGCGGGGCGGGCTGGCAGTGAGGGCCCTCAGCGTCCCCGCCCGCCCGGCGCCCCTGCCTGCTCCCCGCCCGGGGCCCCTCGCCGCCCACCTTGTTGCCATTGGAGTACATGGCCAGGAGGCACAGGAGGTGGTACATGTGGCCGCAGCGGCCCAGGCGGCCCACCAGCTCTGGCCGCATGCCCTTGTACCGCAGCACGCCCTCGTAGCCCGATGCAGTGACCAGCCGCTCCATGCAGATGGTGCAATCCTGGGGGCGCAGAAGGGACACTCAGGCTGGGAAGGGCGAGACTCCAGGGGCTCCAGGACGCGTCCCCCCACCCCCGACGTCCACTTGCCAAGGGAAAGGGCACCTCAGAGGCTGAATTCAAATACAGGGAGCCTTGCCCTCTCCCAAAAGGGGGCGCTTCACCCCCTGCCCCCGCGAAAGCTGGGCGCCCGTGAAAATACAGGCTCGAGGGCAGCCCTGCCCACCACCAGGTGATTGACAGCTGGGCTCTACCAATGGTTTCCGCCCACCAAGAGCGGGGCGGGAGGCTGGGGAAAGCCAGCGGGCAAACTGGGAGCAGGGCAAGGGAGAGGATGCCCGGAACGCCCCTCCCTCCCGCTCACCTCGTCCGGGGGGTTCTTCACCTTGTGCGTGTACCTCCGAACCACGTCCTCGGGGTTCTTACCTGCAAGGACACAGCGGGGCGGCGGGGCGGCCGGGCTCAGGACAGGGCGGGGGGCCAGGGGCGGGTCACAGGGCTGGGGGTTGGATGTGATGGGGCTGGGGGCGGCGAGGAGGCCAGGGGGAAGGGGCAGGGCTGATCAGAGTCCTAAGAACAAGTCGGAGGGGCTGCCACCCAGGGTGACGGGGTCAACGATCGGGGGTCGGAAGCCCTACTCTTCTTAAGGTGCTTCTTCTTGGTCTTGCGGCACACGCCGGGCACCCCGGGCACCGGCTTCACGTCGCTCTTGCTGACGGGCGGCGGGTGCAGGATGGGCTTGGGGGCCCGGGTCAGGCACACGGGCAGGCCGGCAGCACAGAGCAGGATCCCAGTCATCCCTGGGGACGCCGTGAGAAGGGGGTAGTCAGATGCCAAAGTGCCTCTAGACCCTGCCCACCCGACCACGTGCCCCTTTCAGCCCCGCTCAGGTTGAAGCCCAGTGGCTCGCCTTCTGCGGCCCCGCCCACCCCACGTTCTGGCCCAATGGCGAAGGAGCGCTTCCCTCGGGTCCCACCCACTCAACCCAACCATCTCGAAGCCCAGTGGCTGGCCTCCTCTGGCACCGCCCACTGCATGATTCGACCCAATGGCGAAGGAGTGTCTCCTTTGAGTCCCACCCACTCATTTCAACGATGTTGAAGCCCAATGGCTCTCGGCTTCTGTGGTCCCGCCCACCTCGCATTCCGACCCAATGGCGAAGCAGTGTTTCCCTTGGGGTCCACCCACTCATCCCACCCTCTATGTTCATCAAGGGGTGGGGCCACGGGGCCAAAGACTGCTGCTTTCTGGGGTCCTGCCCTTCTGCCCTGACTTGAGCGGGATCTCACCTGCCAGGGCCGGGTGGACGGGCCCAGTACCGTTCAAGTTCTTCACCGGGAGTGCAGGGACCCTGAGGGGAGAGAGAAAGAGGTTGCAGCTGGACTCCAGCCCTCTAGCACCCAGAGTCAGGGGGTCCTGCTGGCCTTCTGACTTTGGTTCCTGGGCATTGGCTAATGTGTGTCTGTCTGTCCGGCACACGCCCAAGTTGTCCGGGGGCTGGACCCCAAGACTGAGCTTTTCCCAAATCCTTGGCTGTCCACTTCCCGAGAGAACGCGCTGAGCGTCCAGATGTTCCCTTTCACTGACCACTGGCCGGAAGCCCACACATCAGTGATTTCGCCATCCTAGCACGCCAGGGTTTGCGATATGAAGCTCTAATTCCCAGAAGCAGATCTGGGGAACGGTTCAGGGATCAACTAAATGAAACCCTTCTCTGGGATTCTTGGAAATTCACATCGCGAGCACATCTAGTGGGTGATCCGTTTCTGCACAGGGGTAAAGTAAGGCAAAGAGGTTTTCCAAAGACAAGGGTTCTAGGAAAATGTGCCTGTTTCCCTTCCCACCACTTCCCCTGAGGGCTCTGGCTTTGGGACTCGGCCAAAGCTGCTCTCGCACCTCAGCCAGCCTGCCAGGCAGGTGACAGGGGCCCCCGGCATGCCTGTTGCCCGCTCTGTCTGTTGGCACTTTCCGTTAGCTGTGAGTGGTTGGGAATTCCACACAAGGGCCGTTCCCAGGGGCTGGGAAGGACTGCCTGGCTGACCCATGGTCATCACGTGGTCATCAGTGTGTTGTGCTGGCGGAGGGACCTCACCCCCTGCTCTGCAGCTCACCAATGGCTGAGGGGGATGGAGGAGCCATGCCAGAGCGGGAGCACCAGAGCTGGAGCGATGGCACAGCGGGTAGGGCATTTGCCTTCCACACGGCCGACCCGGGTTTGATTCCCAGCAATCAATATGGACCCCTGAGCACCGCCAGGGGTAATTCCTGAGTGTATGAGCCAGGAGGAACCCCAGGTGTGACCCAAAAAGCAAAAAAAAAGCAGGAGCACCAAGCTCAAGTCAGCCGTGGAAGCTCTGTGATGTGAGCTGTGCGGGCTTCCGTGCCTGGAAAATGGGGTGACGAGGCAGCACCTGGGAGCTGACTGAGGAAGCTTGGTGAGACCTGTACAGGAGTCTGCCTGGGCTTTCTGGACCTCAAGTTATGAGGGGTGGGGCCTGCGTGCTTGCTGTGGATGCTTCTAGAACCCTGGACAGGTTTCAGGGGAGATGCGCCTCCCCCAGGAACACACCTCTGCACACACCTGTGAACACCCAGAAGGACTCCGCCTCATACAAATTAAGTATGAACTTTATACGCCTCGTACAAATAAACATACAACAGGGGCTGGAGAGGTAGCACAGCGGGTGGGGCGTTTGCCTTGCACGCGGCCGACCCGGGTTCGATTCCCAGCATCCCATATGGTCCCCTGAGCACCGCCAGGAGTAACTCTTGAGTGCAGAGCCAGGAGTAACCCCTGTGCATCGCCGGGTGTGACCCCAAAAGCAAAAGTAAATAAATAAATAAATAAATACAAATAAACGTACAACATCTGGAGGCCACGCCACATGTGTTGGCATGAAAACACACAACATATACACAAACACACACACTCACACTCTCCAGGGACAGGCCACACTGCAGAGACACACAGCACATACTGTAAAAATGCTCACAGGGAGAGATCTGCGTGGGGGTGCGGATAGAATGGGAGCCCGGCTGAGGTGCTCTCCAGACACACGGATGCCAGGGGGAAGCCGAGAATAAGTTCAGACGGAAACACCTTCTCCTGCATGAGCACCAGCACTGAAGCCTGCGAGGGGCCTTTCCTATCCCCAGGGCACACGGGACCCACGGGCACACACACAGGGCCCACAGAGATGCCGACACACAGGGACCCACAGAGATGCCCACACACAGGGCATATGGGACCCGCGGCCATGTCCATGCGGACAGCAGCAGTACCCGTCTGGGTGGCATGTGGGTGAAGAGAGATGCTCAGACTGTCCCCCACGATGACACAGCCCCCCCCTGTTGAGCCCACCGGGTCACACTGCATCTCCTGGGGGCTCCTCCCAGGCCCGCTAGGGCTAGAGTTCGGGGTGAGGCTGCCCAGAGCAGATACCGGGTCACGGAGCACAACTCCGGGGGATGCAACAGGAAGGCGTGCACCTCCGAGCTCCCGAGGCCTGCGCAGGGTGCCTCAGTTTCCCCATCTGCGAAAGGGAGAGCCGGGTTCCACGAGCTCAGATGCGGGGAGCTCAGCCTGGCACAGGGCTGGGAGTGGAGCATCCTGATATTCTCCGAGCAGCCCGTGGGACTCAGGAGATGGGCGATGACCAGGCCCCTTTCTCAGGCCTGTGATAACGGGCCTGGGGGTCGCAGCACCCTCTGCACCCCTCCCCAAGCCCCTGAGGAAGGTTCGGAGGCTTGCACCTCGGTGTCCCCCCTTTCCTGACCTTCCAGACACTTCCAGGGTGGATTCATGGCTCACTGCCCCCCACACCAAGATCCCCCCACTTCGTTCCTGCCCTTCCGCCTCGTGAGAACACGTCTTTGCTGGTCTCCTGGGATGTCTGTTCAGAAAACTCTTCCGCAGGTCAGTCCCGCCTGGACCGTCACGGGTCAGCGGCAGCGTTCCTCTCGGCCACCCTGACCCCAGCCCCCATGACCGGTTGAGCTCCTGAGCCCTGCAGCGGGGGAGGGTTTGGATCTCAGCTGCCCTGACGCTCCTGCGAAACCACAGAGCCCCGAGTCACAGAGGGGGCCCGGTGGGGTGTGACAAAACCCCGTTTTTTATTTACCCACCAGTGAGTTGGGGGACAGTCCCGAGGCAGCCCCAGCCCTTCTCGACCTGCAGGTCCCCCGCGAGAACGCAGGGGAGCAGAGTTCCCACGACGCCAGAGCGTGGGAGCCACCGGGCCCCTTTTGATGTGGGGCGTGCTGCTTCCTCCGAGGCACTGAGAACATCCTCTTGCCTGGACAGGAGGCCGCTGCCCGCAGACCTCCCGGAAGCACGGGGCTCCGCCCAGTGCCAGGCCTTGCTGCCACAAGGCCAGGCTTGGGCAGCGGTGCCACACTGTCCTTCCAGTTGCCTCTCCCGGCCCTGCATCAGTCTTGCCTCCCGCTGCCCTGAGCCAAGTCTGACGACCTCTTCCCGATGCAGGAGGAAGTCAGTCCCTGCCCCCTCAGAGGACTCAGTATTCCCTGAGCTTGCCCCAGGGCCTTTGCACGTGCTGTCTCCCTCCTAGACCGTTCCCCACCTTGACCCAGAGACTTCCTGACGCTGCTCTTGAGAAGCCCTGCCTCTCCCTTGCCTGTTTTCTCTGTTGGCCTCTGGGAACGCAACCTCACCCCACCCTCCATCTCCCGGCCCCGGCCACCTGCTGCTGCTCTGAGAGGCTGGCCCTGGTGACCCCAGGAAAGTCTCCCTGCCCCTATCTCTGACTGTACTGCCATCTCAGCTGAAATGCTGCCTCGTCACATCCAGGGAGCAGGTGTCCTAGAGACCCTACCCCTTAGCTTTTCTGCCTATGATCACCCTAAAGGCACCTCACTCCGGGGCGTCCTGTGAGGGCCCCAAAACACTTTCTCTAAGGACCCTCCCAGACCTGTCCCCACATCAGGCCGAGAGAGAGAGAGAGAGAGAGAGAGAGAGAGAGAGAGAGAAGTGGGGGGAGGTTTCTGAGTTTCTGTTCCTCACACCGTTCCCTGCCTTTTCCCATCCTGGGGTACGGTACCAAGTCCCCCTGCCTGTCCATCTCTCTGTCTGCAGCGCGCACCTGCTCTGTGAGGTCAGCCCACTGCGCCTCCCTGGGGAGAAATCAAGTGGTCCCCTTGCCCCCACAAAGGACTGTGCTGACCTCTGAGGGAGCCGTGCCCCATGTGTTTGCGAGTGGCTGTGCCCACCACCGCTGGGCCGGGCAGCTCGTCACCCCAGGATGGAGGACGAGGCTGGTGTGAGTCGGCCGAGAAGTGCAGAAGTGGGCTGCCCCATCTGTGGTGTCTCTGCTGACCCCCGGGGTCCCCTCACCCAGCAAAGCCAGAGCGAGACCCACCCGTCGGTCCCCGCACGCCGCCCCAGGACCCCCGCCCCTTCCTCTGGTCGAGCTGGTGTTGATTTGCCGCGTGTCTGAGGGTGATGGGCCCCAAGCACAGACGGGAAGTGACCTCCCCAAGGGTCGCCCAGCTGGTGGGATGCAGCTGGCTCTGGGTTCGGGAGCTTCTGAGTCAGACGGCCCCCGGCCCCCGGCCCACCTCAGCCTAGCTGCCCTGTGGGCCCCAGCGGGGCTGAGCTGAGGCAGAGTCCCAGCCCTCTGTGCCCTGCTGCCCCCGGCCAGGCCTGCAGCTGGCACGGCCAAGGCTGGGCAGCTCAGAGTGGCATGAGGGGCCACGTGCCAGTTGGTTGGGCACTGGGGGCCGGGGGCATCAGGAGGCAGGAAGCTCTGACACGATTTTGGCCGCAGCTTCGTCCCACCTCCCCGACAGCCCTCAGGACACCCGGCACCTGCCCAGTGGTCCTGGGGGAGCTGGAGCAGTTCTGGTCTCAGTCCAAGTGGGCGAGAAGGGGCAGAAATGAGAGGCGGATCTCAGGAGAAGGAAGCCTCCTCCCGGCAGGCTCCAGGGGTCCAACCCTGGCCCCCTGCGCGGCCCAATCTCCCTCTTCTACCTGAGCTCTGGACCCTACATTCCGGTGGGGGGGCAGTCCAGGTGCCAGGCCGGTCATCCTCCCCCCTTCAGAGCCCTGGGGGACCCCACTTCTCCCACCCTCCCGGTCACACAAAACCCGCAGGCCCCAGAGGCTGCTCCTGGGCTCCCCTCCTCCCCCCTCCTCGCTCTGGTGCCTCCATCTGTCCGGAGAGTTTCCCCTTGGTCCAGGGGGACCCTTCACCCCAGCCCCCATCTGTGTACTCCTTGGGACCCAGGGGGTATGCAAATCCCCAAGGAGGAGCTAGAGGGTGGCTGTCTTTCAGGGGCTCCAGGTCTCCCAGCACCCCCTGCTGCGGGCAGCCCTCCCTGCTTTCCCACACCCTGCGTGTGGTCAGGAGCTTGTGGCCCACCTCCCAGGGAGCGGGCAGGAAGTGCCTGGGGGGAGGAAGGGGAGCTGGCCTGACCTGGTGGGAGTCACCTTCCCTCCGCAGGGAACCGCGGCCAGAAAAGCGGGGAGGGAGGGGCGCCCCCCCACTGTGTTTCTGGGGCCTTTAACGGTACCGGGTCGGGTTCAGTCCACACCCCCACCCCCTAGCAAGTTCCCCAAACACTGAGCCACAAGTGGCAGAGCCTGAGCACCCTCTGCTGAGCCCCAAACGCCCCCACCAAGGAACCACGGCGAGGAATGAATGAAACCGAAGAAGGAAACTCCCTCCCCAGCTGCGTGGGGACGCCTTGGGGCCCTCGTCCCTACAATCTGCCTCAGTTTCTGGGGGTCCCCGGGCACCCAGAGCGAGATGAGACCTTCTGCCTCCCGTCCTGGCCTCTTCCCATCAGAGCAGGGCTCCACCTCCTCGTCCGCCCCAGCGCACAGAGGCGCCTGAATAACTCGGCCCGCCCAACCCCACGTGCCTCTGAAGGGCTGGGGCTATAGGGCCAGCCGCAGGGGGTCCCTGCTGTCCCCCAGACCCCACACAGCGGCGGGCACACGGCTGCATGGAGATGGAACACATTTAGGCGAGAGAAAGTGGGAAATAACCAGCCAGTGGGAGAAGAGAGGGCAGGGAAGGGTTAACTCCCTCCCAGCGGGGATTGACCTCAAGTCAATGGGAGCCAAGGGGACCCTGCAAGCCCCTGGGTGGCCAGGAAATGGGTATGGGGGCGGCGCTGAGGACACAGGGGCATCTGGGGCCGTGACCTTGGCCGTGCTCATGGCCGGGAGGGGGTGAAGGGGGAAGTCTCTGGTCCCGGAGTCTCTGACCTCGGCCTTCAGGTTTCTGTGGCAGCCCCAGCTCACAGGGATTTGGGGAGGGGGCAGTGGCCCAGGTGGGGCCCCCAACTCAGCCTGGACAGGCCCCCCTGGGTCCTGAGCAGCCGTGGGAGGCAGGCTGGGTCTCGGGGACCCAGAGAAAGGTTGGGGAACACCAACGCCCGGGCCGAGAGGGGGCTTCTGAACGGGGCTTCACAGTATTATCCTGAGCCACGGCCGCACTCGGGTCTGGCCCCCAAAGCACAACGGGGCGGCCTGATCCGCTGTCTTGGGCCCTGAGGATGAAAAGATGCCCCACCCCCACGCTGGGTGTGAATCCAGCCTGTGGCCATGGGGCCGGGCACAGGGCGGCAGCTGCTCTCCCGACTCAGGACCCCCTGCCCCCACCCGTGTGCCAGCCCCGGCCGGGACTGGCTCTGTGACCTCAGGCAGGCCCGCATCTTCTCCCATATGGGCTCGGACGCACTAGCTGGGCGGTGAGCACTCTCCAGAGAGTCCACTCTTCCCTAGCACACCCTCATCTGGACGAGCAAGTACGGGCCGGGGGTGGTCCTGGCTGGCAGATGGGGAAACTGAGGCTAGGATTTCTGGACCAACCAGGAAAGGGTTGTTTCCAGGAACTTGAGGGCAGTTTGGGTTTGAGGGGAGAGGGGAGGGCGAGGAGAAGAGGAAGACTGCTGGGGGTCGAAGGGGAGAAGCAGCCTTGGACAGAGCCAGGGCCAGGGCCAGGGGGCCGAGAGGCCGGCACAGGCTGGAGGTGAGAGCTCAGAGAGCCCCAGGGGCGGACCTGTTCCCATGCCGGGAGTCCTCAGGGCTCCGGAGAAGCCCTGTACAGAGGTGACCCGGCGTCCTTGGAGGGGTTGCAGGGAGAGACGGGGGAGGCTCTTGCCCTGCACGTGGTCAACCCAGGTCTGTTCCTGGCACCAGGGTCCTTGAGTCTCACTGAGGAGGAGGAGGCTGTGGCGGGGGGGGCGGGGAGGAGGCTGTGGCGGGGGGGGGGGCGGGCAGCTGGGGGCCGGGCAGTGGGAGGACCCTCCCTAGCTCGGACTCCCACCTCCCGCACCTTGGTCCCCCTGCCAGCCCTCCGCACCAGAGTCCTGCCTGGCGCCAGCTGCACCCAAGTGCCCCCACCTACCCCTCGAGCTCGCCCAGAAGCACATGTGAGCCCCCATTCTGGAGCTGTGCACGATCCTTCCTCCCGAACCCCCAACCGCCCTGTCCATCACCTCCCCACATTGTCCTCCCGCCAGCCCTATGCTCCCTGGACTGTCCATGAGCTGCCTGCCTGTCCGTCTGTCTGTCCATCTGTCTGTCTTCCTGTCCATCTGCTTGTCTGTCTGTCCATCCGTCTGCCTGTCTGTCCATCTGTCTGCCTGTCTGTCCATCTGTCTGCCTGTCTGTCCATTTGTCTGTTCATCTGTCTGTCTGTCCATCTGTCTGTCTTCCTGTCCATCTGTTTGTCTGTTTGTCCATCCATCTGTCTGCCTATCTGTCTGTCCATCTGTCTGTCTGCCGCCTGCAGGTCTGCCCCCTGGGCTTGTTGCCCTGAGCAGGATGTGCGCAGATCAGTGCTCCAGCCAGACTGTCCCGCTTGCGCTGCCAGAACCGGGGGCTTTCCCGGGTTTCATGGGACCTTCACTTCACACGGGGAAAAACAGGTCAAAGGCCACAGAGCCACCCCGTTCCCACGCG